AAGGTACTTCTGCGCTGTAGGGTAAGCAAACACCGACGACGCACGCGATCCAAAACTCCTCAGAACATTACACCGGACCGGAGCTTACGTCATTGCAGCTCTTCGCATTCCTCGAGCATCAAATCCACATAAATCTTTACCACGCGACCTAGTATCGTATTTTCTTGTTAAGTAACCGATGATTATCTGAAATTTATTGATTAATTTTTATGCTTTGAAGGCGTGATTATAACTTTGTACAATTTTCACTTAGAAATTGAATAATTAGGTTAATTTGCATCTTGGAAATGTGCAAACTTAATGTGAGCAATAATTTTTTCGCTTGACAAATTTCAAATGTTCAAATTGCACATTTTGCTTTCTTGACAAAGATTAATATCCGGATAAAAGGAATAAATCTCGGTTAATATGAGTGATAAGCATCTTGAGAGTCATTACCATGCAATAAAATGAAGCAACCGAGCGCGTAAACGACCCAAAACTCGCTGGCATTCAACGCCAGGTAAAGATATAAATAAATTCGTGAGACCAACCTGTTCACCGACAAAAACATGAATCATGAATTGAGTTAGTGAGTTAGCGCTAAGCGAAACTAAAAATGTGTGTGTACAAAATTGTATGAACAAAAATGTGGTCGCGTTGGGACAAAAAAGAATTAATCTATAGTGGTTTCATATTGTTGCTGTACGCACGTTTACAAAAAGTGCAGGCGTCCTTGGTCCACTGTCTTGCTTTTACTTTCATTAAATTCTTGTTGTTCGTCGCGTTGGCTTTAATACGCTTTTCATTTCGCTGCTGGCATTAACGCGTTATTATCACGTTCGTGCCATCAGCGTGCAAATGACATTGTGACGGTCGTACACTCGGCAAGAACCAGATGGAATCTTATATGCTATTGACTCAAATATTAAATATTTTGATATTTAATTATTAATTATATTTGTCATTGAAATAGTTCTTTGAAGCGTTTCATAACAAAGTATTATTATTTTTAATCCAATAGTAACGCAGTATGTCGATATGTTTGTTTGTTTTCATTTCACATCTAAACCACGGAACCGATATTGATAAATTTTGGTATGCTGATAAATTCGACTTTGCAGAATGACATAGACTATTTTTTATCACAAAATACAAGTAAACGTAAATAAAATAGAAGATAGAAGTTTGTTTGGGGAATAGAAGTACAAATGGAACGTAGATGGCTTTAAGATGCACTTATTTGCATTAAAACTCCTGAATACACTTTAAATATAATTGATTTGAGCAATATTAATCTCTCCTGGCGAATTCAATCATCAAATCAATAAAAATAAAAAATATATTTTGTACACTCTTAAAATTTGTACAGTAGGTATTACAATATGATTCAAGTCTAAAGTCTGACCAACATAAGTGAACAAATATTTTATCGCAACAAATGATTAATTTTTATTTATCTGTTTAGGTATTTACCTAATTATTTCACAATTCTTAGTCTATCCAAAATGACGAAATCTGGATGTGTATTAAAAACTGTACCTACTTAAAAAATCATCAGCGATAAATAAAGTGAATGGAAGATTATACCTTTTGTATGTAGAACGATCATCATCAAATTTACAAGTGCATAGAAGCACGTAATCGTTTAATGGCAATACCACTGCAAAACGATTGATGGTTATCGCACGATTTTTTCATTTTGAAGTTGTACTTTTGCACGTTAGCGAGCGTGATTTGAGCAAAAAATGTGTAACCTGTCATTTGGCTTGTTCATAACTATGATTACATCGTGAATTCCATTACTAAATTACTTGCTACGAGTGAGAATCGTTTTGAGATGTAAATATTGAATTCATGCAGGATCTACTTAAATGTCGAACAAATGACGTCGTTCCTTGCAAGCAAGTTCATGTGTGATTTACCTTGAGTTAAATATCAATTGCTTTTTTGTAGGTAGCTGAATATTGAATGTTGTATACTTGTACATATTTCGATAAAGATGTAATCATTTTTTAATGATTAATTTTTGTAAAAGTTTGTGTAAACAACTGAATTTGTTGTAGATTATTATATTTACAACACTTGACAATATTGATGGGATGATTGTGTATTTCCTGCCATTATTGGTTTTTGATCATTTCTGCTCAATTGACGAGTTTTTAATGATAAAAATATGTAAAGAAGTGGAATTATTTTAACTACATTTTATTGATTGTCGGTCAAAGTAGAATAAACCAGTAATTTGTAGGTTACTTTTTAAATGGATAAATTACTTTAAGTCAATTGTTCAAAATGGGATTATGTTGTTCATCTGCTTTTAAAAAAAACGGCGGTTAGTGTGTTCGATCTATAAAAATGAATTTATTATTTTAAGTTGCCACTCAAATTCAAGCAAAATAAAAACACGAACAGAATTGGTATTCTGTTATTGCCAAAATAATAAAACTCAATAAATTGTATGAGCCTGAATAGTTTTATTAACATTTCGAAGAATTTGTTAGCGTATTGAATTTGATTCCGGCGCGACGTGAGCCTGAATAGTCGTCCACTTTCTCTTCACATGTTTACATCCAGGAGCCGCGACTGAGGCCTTATCGATATTGGTCGACGAAGAAGTTGCGAAACGACGTCTAAGGTGCGCATTCCAAACGTGAAACAAATCGCACAGCAATAAATGTGCGCGTACGCGGAATAAACTCATGAATAGTTCGAGAGTACGCTTGCACTCGATCTCATCAGCCAGCCATTCGATGCGATTTATCGTGATGTGTTCGTAACAGAAACACAGTTTCAGATACACATGAAGTGTATCCAAGATGCAATTTATTCTTTAATTAGGCTACAACAGTGAGGCGGTGCGAGTTATATAACTTTTTAATCCAACGTATACTGAATGCACATGCGTAGTTAAATGGATACGAAAATTTAACGGTATAACCAAACATGTAAAAACATTTTATAAATCTTTAGGTGTTACACCAAATAAGTAGTTTCCTCAAGTCATAAAACAATTATTTACTGTTAGTATACAGTTACTGTATTGAACATCACATCCGGTTTGCCGGAAGTAAAAAAAAAGCAATTATTTAAGTTAAGTTGTGATTTCACTTTATTCTTTGTATGCTTTTATTATATGTTACAGCGTTTATTTGTAATTGTTTCGATAACAAAGTGTAAAAACTCGCACCGAAAGCAATAAATAAATTGTAATAAAGATTCCTTCATGTAATTCTACACTGATGATTTCACCTTGATTTCGTAACAGTTTATTACACGCATAATTTTATACAAACGTCATGAACTCAACAAATTAAATTTAAATTTGACGATTGAAGAAAGTAAAAGCTTAAATCCGCAAAGAAGAAGTGTGGATGTTTCTCATCAATTCAGAACTTATTCAACGATGAGAAGGTCAATTAACTTTCCAGTTTAATTTTAATTAATATTTTATACTGTGGTTATAATTAATCCTGAGTGGGTTTACAAAAAATAATTGCTCATCTAATTAAACAACATCCAAACATTAAAAATTTTGTTCTCGCCAAAAATTATTTTTTAGTTTTACTTAATAAATGGAAAGTATGCGCTTTACAGATTAATTAAACTCCTACTTCTTAATTATGCAGCAATTACAATTAGTAATTTAAAAATTGTGTACGTTTTTGAAAGCAGTTTGTAGACAATTTGCAATGAAAATAAATTACGAGTAGTTGAATGTTCTACGCGAATGAGATAATGCATTAAGATTAAGATAAGTAGACTTGATTTTTCATTTGTTTTAGTTTGCGTGGTTTTGCGAGCTGTACCTACTTTCTAGGGCAGGTGCTGTGTTTTGTTTCACAGTCTCAGTTGCACAGTTGCACAATGTGAAAATGTAAATTTTTTGCTCCGATTTGTTTCGCAACGACGACAGAAATTGAAGCAAAACGAATCCAGTTTGTGTAAATTAGTGCAATATTGCAAATTGTTACAAGTTTACTGTATTTGTATGCAGATCAGCAAATTTATGTCAAGTACTTGCGGAATGCAAAACAAAGAAAAACTGAAACTAGTAACATAACAAACTGACAACAATTTATTTCATACGCTATATTAATTGATATTAATAAACAGAAATGCTATGAATGAAAATTCCTATTAATTAATCACACTTGAATAAAGATATTTGTTTGTCAAGAACATTCCTGCAATAGTTATGTTATATATGGTGTTTAATTAAATCATTTGCAATATTCAGGAAGTAATAAAGTAATAACTTACAAAATTTCAAATGTGTAAATAAAACAATTGATAATTTGTAAATATGAATGAATTTTACTTGCAATTAATTTATTCTTATAGTAGAAAAGCAAAATCATATTTATTCCTTTTCTGTATGTTTCCTTCCTTATTATGTCGAAATAGGATATTTTTTATCGCAAAATTTAACTTAAAACAAGTGAAATATAAGATTAAACTTTGCATTTCATGAAATCAGAGTTATAATAATACAATTTTAAAAGAAATGGCGCTGTGATATACAAAACAATTTAAGAAACTTTTGCGAATACAATTTATCAGTAAAAAGATTACGGTGACACCCTAGACTCTGCGCAATCAAGCATCTACTGCTTATTATTACACAATAATATAATATTGTTGTTATTGATAAGTTGCAATATCTAATAACAAGGACATCCATTTTTACCAAAGTTTCAACAGAACGAACAAGATGAATAATTTATGTTCTCTTACATTGTATAAAAAATGTAGAACTACATGTGGTTACTCAGAAGCAAAGACAATAGAAATTTTTCATTGTCTTTTCCAGCAACGCAAGCACGGCATGAATTGTGATTATGTGAACCACCTTCGTTTTTTTATATTCCACCACTTGCACATAATACTACACCGTACACTTAATAAGCTTTCCACCATTTTATTATTAGATAACTACCACAACTACACATTTAATTAATTAACTACAATGCAGTTGTAAGTGGCATTGATTTGTAAACGTATATTTTCTATTGTTTCAGGGGACGCAACATCGATGGCTATGGCTGTTACTGTTTATGTTTATAAAAATACTAGAAACATCATCAAAGGAATTAAGAGTGGTATGTTATTACACAAATTGGTCAGTGTATAGGCCGGGAACAGCAAAGTTCAGCCCGCAGAATATAAATCCATACCTGTGTACACATCTTGTTTACGCCTTCGGTGGTTTCACGAAGGAGAACACTTTGAAACCATTCGATAAATATCAAGATATCGAAAAAGGTAACTATGACTCACAGCCACAGACTGATTAATTAACTCTTGCATTATGTGCATTGCAATTGTAGATTAATTAGTCTGCTAACACTATAAATTCAATTTGCGTGCAATTTATTCAAATTGACATGATTTCAATAGGTGTCGCCTGGTTAAAACAAAACTTTCTTGTCATACCTACACGTGCGCAATATGCAATTTGCATTGTATGCACCAGAACAACTTTCATTATTATACTCTGCTTACATCTTGTGCAATTTTATTCACATGGAGGAAAATCTTATAAAGATATAAAGCTTAATTGACTCAACAAACTACTTCATACGCGTTTATTATATAATTATCAGACAAATTAACCTAGAATGTGTCCTATTGATCAAGTTATTTGCTACAAATGAAGACATTGTTATACATTTTTATAGGAAACATGTTTTATTGCTTTCCATAGGTGGATATGCGAAATTTACCGGTTTGAAGACCTATAACAAGAATCTAAAAACAATGTTGGCCATTGGTGGATGGAATGAAGGTTCATCTAGATTTTCTCCCATGGTGGCAAGCGCTGAGAGACGAAAAGAATTAGTAAAAAATGTCGTCAAGTTTTTGCGACAGAATCACTTTGATGGTCTAGATCTAGATTGGGAATATCCAAGTTTCCGTGATGGAGGTAAACCTAGAGATCGAGATAACTACGCACAATTAGTTCAGGAATTACGTGAAGAGTTTGAAAGAGAATCACAGAAAACCGGACGACCAAGACTGTTACTTACCATGGCGGTACCAGCTGGTATAGAGTACATTAACAAAGGATATGATGTACCAAAACTCATGAAGTAAGCAAATAACTAACTATTTAATATTAATATATGGTATTTATATAGCGTTGCATTGTGATTTGAGAATGTACATTGCCTGCTTCTGGTTGTGATTAAATATGCAGTTTTTTAATTTGCATATTTAAATATCACACCTCTATTATTACCTGCCTAGGCATAACAATCGCATTGCATAATTTCTAATTTCTACAAATTATTTATTCAAGATACTTGGATTGGATGAATATTCTTAGCTACGACTATCATTCCGCGTTTGAACCTTCTGTGAATCATCATGCACCACTCTACCCGTTGGAAGAAGACAATGAGTATAACTACGACACCGAATTGAATATCGTAAGTATTGGACTGAATGCAGAACGAATCAAGGTGCGCTTGAGGCGTGAGTTCATGGTCATATCGTGGTTGCAATTTCCTCTTTAGCACCTTCAATAAATGCCTGCCATAAACGCCAGCGTAGGTGGGATACCACTCGAATTGGTATCCACGATGAGTTTGTTTGTGCATTGTTGATTCTATATAGGGATTCATCATTTTTTACATGGCGCTTTGTGTGTGGGTTTGCAGGAGCATACGATTCAGCATTATTTGAAGGCTGGTGCCATAAGCGATAAACTTGTTCTTGGTATTCCGACTTATGGTCGCTCCTACACGCTGTTCAATCCTGATGCCAATGACATCGGAGCGCCTGCTGATGGGCCGGGAGAAATGGGAGATGCTACCAGGGAGAATGGTTATTTGGCTTATTATGAAGTATGTTTAATATTTATTTTTATTTCTAGAAGAGATTTTGTTTAATTTGTGTATTGTATAGATTTGTGAAGCTGTAAATTCTGGTGAGTGGACGGTGGTTCAACCTAATGACGAAGCAATGGGTCCTTACGCATACAAAGAAAACCAATGGGTTGGTTATGATGACGAAGCAATCGCAAGGAAAAAGTCACAATATGTTGCTGATAAAGATTTGGGTGGTATTATGTTTTGGTCCATTGATAACGACGACTTTAGAGGAACCTGTCACAATAAATCTTACCCAATTATTGAAGCTGCTAAGGAAGCTTTAGTTGAAGCTCTTGGGTATAAATTCAATCTTCAATATTTTTGAATAAAAATTTTGAGTAATTATTTTATTTACAGGCTTGGTAATGAGAATGCCATTCAAAAATCAAACAAAAACGCAAAACCACGTACCAGCAGATACCGCACCAAAACAACTGAAGAACCATCCACAGAACGTACAAGAAACAGTGGTGGTCGTCAAGGTGCCGAACCTACTTCCTCCCGAAAACGTCCACAAGGCCGCGTTGAAGAAACAAGCAATACCGGTAGCAGTACATCAAGTCGCAGACGTCGTCCAAGTTCTAGAAAATCAAACAAATCATCAACCACTGAATCTAATGAACCAGTACGAGGAAGTGGTAGTAGTTTAGTGGTAACCACACCAAGTTACAAAACACCAGAACCACCAACAACACCAGATCCAGGCGGTGGTATGTTATTTATTTATGTTTTAATGTTTTTGTGCATATTAAATGAATTTTTCAGATTTTAAGTGTGAAGATGAAGGTTTCTACCCGCACCCACGCGATTGTAAGAAATATTTCTGGTGTCTCAGTGGACCCTCCGAATTGGGTATTATAGCTCATCAGTTCACTTGCCCGTCGGGTTTGTATTTCAATAAAGCAGCATCTTCTTGTGACTACACTCAAAATGTGCTGTGTAATAAAAAAACAAAAACCACCACGACCACAACCACCGAGGCCACGGCTACAAAGTCCGGTATAACTACTAAAACGTCGACAACCACAGAAGAAATTACAAGAAGACCTGACTCTTTGTCGATATTCTCAACGCGTCGACCACCGCCGAAAATAACTGCCGCAACCAGCAGAACCACTTTTGTCTCTACCACTAAGGCCACTACACCTGAGTATGAGGTACGTGTTTTGTTCGTGCCTACATTTTAATATAATATAATATAATTTAATTTCTGTGTAGGAGGAATATGAAGAATATGAAGATGAGGACCGTAAAGATGGCAACGATACAGAATCGGATTCCGAGGATCCACAAGTGATTAAAGAGTTGTTGGAGTTGATCAAGAAAGCTGGTGGTATCGAAGAACTGGAGAAACAGTTAAACCTGAAAGATGATGCTAATGAACCAACTCAACCGGGATCCACTACACCTTCACCTATTAAACAAATTTTGTATCAAAAAGTCTTAGCTAAAACCAAATTGAGCAATCCCACAAATCGTCAGAATTCTATAAATTACAACTCAATTAATAGAAACCGCAATAGTCGTGGTCCGCAGTATGAAGGTTTAACCAATGAAGACAAAACTGAGAAATCTTTAGCAAGACCTAAATATTCAACTATTTCCCGTGCGAGAACAACAAGCAACGAAGATACACCAGAGGATGATAAGGAGGAGGTGGTTAAAACAAAAGAAGAAGTTGCTCCGGTTTACGAAAAACCTAAATATATCTCATTAAGACGTAATAGGGTCTCTACAGCTGCTCCAGTAGATGATGTAGATGAAGATAATGAGGAACCTGTTAAGTTACCTGAAGTTTCTACAACATCCAAGTCGCCATATGTTACTTTAAAGAGGTCTAGACCAACTACAACTACTGCAAGAAACGAGGAGGAACCTTTGGATAGGTAATTATTGTAATAATTTATTGAGGAACACGATTGAAATCCTTTTTAATGTTGTTATAGGGTGGTACTGGGAGAAGAGGAAGTGGATACTGCATCACCAAACTATGTTGTTCTAAATCGTCAAAGATCAACCACCACCAAAGCTACAACTTCAAGGTATGTCTTTCTAAAGGTTGAATGTTGGAATTAGTTGTTTATTTGTTTTGTTTCTGTCCAGATATAAGGAGATTAGACGTAGTACAACGGCAGCTCCACCGGTAACTGAGCAAGAAGAAAAAGAAGAGGACATAACAACTAGTTTTGCATCACCAACAGCAGACACTAATTCAAAAATTACTAACACGCTTCTAACATTCATTAGCGATGAGCCATTAAGTCACACATTAAGCTTTGAAACAACAATACCATCCATCACAGAATCACCCAAAAACGAAATTCTTGAACCGCAATTGTTGGAACCGCGCCCATTCTCAATCAGCACAAACGCCAAATTGGTACCATCAACTACCACAACAACGTCAACAACAACTACAACGAAACTTGTACCAACATCATCTTCTTCAACCACATCAACAACATCACGCGTGGAGACGGAAGCCCCTAAGGTGAGTTCTAAGTCACTAAGCAATGTACAGACACAAACAAGAGGTAGGATTAGGGGTACGGCACGTTTCACGCTTAAAACTGATGCACAAAAATCGCCCGACCAGCAACAAGAACAACAACAGCACATCGACCACACTGAACGCCATTACAGACCCGAGTCGTCCGCTATCAGCGACTTGTCATCACTCACCGCAGCCGATTTCGGTTTCAATGTAAATAATCCTAACCATCATGGCAGACGGTCACGCCCGCGCACTTCCACTAGCACTGTAGTCACACAAGCACCCACTAGCACTGATACTTTACCACCATTATCAACAACTACAACTACAACAACAACACAAGAAACTTTTAAAACGGGTTCACGTACTTTAACTCTAGCACGAGAATATTTGAAAAATTCACAGTTTGGTAGCAGTAGACGCCGTCCGACGACGTCGACTACGACGGTTAGTGATGAGGGTGTAAATGTTAGAATTAAGTCCGTCACCGAAGAGCCCAAAGTGACCAAAGTACAGCGCACGCATGTACGACGATTGAGACCTGTTAGTGTCTCCACTCAAACTTCTACAGAGCCTTCGGAAGTGACTCAAGCAAGAAGATATCGAGGAAGAAGCACGACGCCATTACCCTACCGACGAAGGAATGAAATTGATGGTGGTAACACCGACGATGATGATATTAAACTATCAGAGAGTAATATTTTAGAGAATAGTGATTTGAATCGGGCCAACACGAACGCCATTAAAGATGATGCTAAGGCAGTGCCACGAAAAGTAATTAAAAGAATTAGATATCCAACCACTAGCACAAGTACTACAACCGAAAGTGCCATTGAGGAAGAAACTGAATTAGCTCCTAGCTCAAATCCTGCAAGTCGCAGCACTGAACCGAATATTATAGTCAGAACTAGGATTATTTTAAGAAAAGTGACTTCCACAACGCCATCTACAACAGCTACTGAGGAGGTAACCCCAGTTGAAGAAAAAACAACTGAAAGTAATAGAAAATTCAGAATTATTAAACGTATCAGAACAACACCATCAACAACTATTTCTGATTCTGAAGTTACAGAAAGTGCCGTTCCAATAAAAACTAGACTGATTCCAGTTTCGGGTAATAAATATAATTTGAATACAATTTCAAGTACTACTGAAACTTTAGAAGTTCCATCTAGTACGACTACCACTACTACTACTACCACAACTACTGTTAAACCTATAGAAGTTGAAAGTACAGAAAATGATGTAACTGTTGAACCGATTGAAGAACAAACTGACAAACCTACTGATGAAGATGATAATAATGATGATACCACAGAAGTTGCTACTGATGAACCTGTAAGTTCAAGTACTGCTTCAACTTTGGCGTACACCAACAAAATCTACAAGTCAGCTGAAGATAGACCTAAGCTGGACTTGAAATCCAGAGGATTTACAACGCCCCACCCTGAATTAACTTCAAAATCAGCAAACAGGTTTGAAAGTAGTTCTAAAAAATCATTCAAATTGCGTCCGACTAAAAATGGTCCCACCGAAGAGCCCCGAAAAGAAGAACTTGATGATGTGGGTCATGGAACAGTTAAACCGTTCAGAAAGTTGGAAAAGCCTACGATTTTGAGATCCCGTCCACGATTTGGTGGTGTGACTAGAGATGATACCATTAGTAGTACTTTCAGAAGTGCTAGTAGGACTCCATACAAATTTACTAAAGGTACAACTGCAGCTGTGATTGATAATGATGAAGATAACGAAGATGAAAACAACGATGATGAAAGATTTGACGACAATGAAGAAAATGAAGATGAAGAAGGTGATTATGATGAAGAAGATGAAGAAGAAGCTAAAACTCCTGCTGTAAGTCGTCCAGCTCTGCCAAGGTTCAATTTAAACAGAAATCAAGCTCAATATCAAAAACCAGACACATCTACAAGATGGACTAATGTTCCATTCAATCCAAATAGTAAAACTACTAAACGTATAAAAACCACAACAAGAAATGGTTACAAGAGGTTCACAAGCACAACACCTCTTAGTACCACAGCTGATTTAGCTGACATAAACGTTGAAGCTCTAAATCAACGTAACAAACAATTGTTTACCAAGACCAGAAAAATGAATACACCATTCCAAGCGTCTACAACTGTCAGTTCGGCAAGTGTTACAACTGGTAACACCCACTCGGAATCAACAACCAATGAAGACACAGAAACTACTTCTGATTTTACCACTGACAAGTTGGATATTACCACATTTAGCAATGAAATTGAAAGTACTGATAAGTCCATTACCACTGAACATGAAGCACAATCCAAAACTACTACTGATAAACCAACAACATTCTATCACATCTTCGCTGAGACAGAACCATCTGTAACCGAAGATGACAAAACATTAAATTCTCTCGATGGTGATGTACCCAATCACTTCGAGAAGTTAATTGAAGTCAATCGAATTGTAGAAATTAAAAACGGATCAAACAACGGCACACAAGTGGATCACCTTGGTGTGATCAACAGAGTTACCAACATTGAAGTTGTAAACGGTCAAAACACTGAAGATTCCAAAGGAGAATTAAAAATTAATATCAATGGTCCTAATATTGAGACGGAATACTTGAATCCATTTGATAATAACAGGAAAGAGCGCAAGTTTGAAATCTACGGAGATAGCAAGGTTTTGAATTACACTCGTCAGAACCCAGCCATTGTGAATGCGAAAGCAGTTGAGATAATTCCTAATCAGATTCTTATCGAAAGCAAGTCAAACGTGCGAACAATCACGCCTCGGCCATTGTTTAATACTGAAGTGTCAACTATTGCTTTAGAGGGTTTATTCAAAACCGAAGCGCCTAGTTATGCGGAAATGTCCAGCGGGGAAAACAAAGATGGCGAAGAGCTGCTAGAAACACAACACACAAAATATGTAAATATTAAGATTCTGGATCAGGATTACGCGCGTGCGCAGAAGGCAATCATCGACCCTAAAGCGAAATTCGTTCCGGTGAAGATTCTCCATGATGATGCAAGCGATGTGAAAGCTCAAGTGGTTGAGGTTGCTAGAAATGATAAGGAGGTTATTAAAATTGCTCCCATTGCTGTTGCTGTACATAAAAAAGAAAAAAGCGCATAGGTGGATGGATTTGAGGTTAATTAGGTTGTAATTAAAAGTCTATACAAATTAGGATTGTTCGTGCTAGTCAAACCTAAGAGATACAATAGTTGTTAATAACTCCAAACAAAATTTGTGTACGATTTTTTATCAGATTCTATTTAGAATAGTTTTGGTTTTATTCAGCACAAAATTTCGGTTGATAGATAAAACGTATTTTTTATTTTGTTATAATAAATTGATTAGTTGATCACGTTTGTTATTTGTTTAACTTTCGAATGACATTTAGGATTAACACTAAACTCATTTGGATGAAAATGTAAAATTACCGCGATTAGAAAGTGAGACTCAATAATTTAGCAATAAACAGATGAAGATTGAAGGCAATCAATCAAAGCCATCGAGAGCGTGTCTCCAAACCGCCATCACGACCTAATTTAGCTTGCTAAACTTTTTATTCAATCAATTTCCATAACCATGTCGAAGTTGTTTCGTCGCGCACCGCTTGGAAAAGAAGCCAAGAATGTTTTTGTATGTATATATAAATATATTGAAGCGAGAAAAGTAAAAATTCTCTTCAGGTGTTTTGCATTTTAAGCAATTATGTACATGCCTGCCATACTGCTTTCTAATCACTGGCTCTCTGCCTTTGCCGGTGAAACCATGCCACCACTTTATGAAGCAATACTGCCATCAACACTTGAATTCGATAGCGCTGTGGCTTATAAATGTACATAGTGAAAATGTGTAAAAGTAGATTTGACACTGCGCAACACTCTCAGCACCGTCGTTTGTGGTTGTACTGCTCGTTCTCATATTCTGTGAATGTTTTTCAGACACCGAAACACCAACTGATGCCACTTGTTATCAAACTAACCAAGTATTTCTTGCTGTAATGCTCGTGTAGTGAGTAGTTTCTCTTTAACATCAAAATTAAACTAAACCATACTAAACCACATCATATTTTTTTAAACTTTAGTGGAAGCAGTGAAATTCTGTTTTGTACGTAATTAGTGATCTATTAGTTTACTACTTTTTTTTAAATAACAATTAGTTTGTTAGTTACATGCACTTATAGTTATAGACATAGAACTTCATTTTTATTGTATTGTATCGAGATTGTAAAATAATTGTTGTTCGGCCAGTATGTGCGAGTATTTTTTTTGCTAACAAAACTGTGTGTACATGTGTTAAATATATGTTATATTTATGTTTAAAAGAATCGTCTCTTTTCTTATTTGAATGGTCACAGATTGATGTTAATGTATGTGGACTTAATTAGCTTTCTCTTTCCTTGCACACTTGATCGCAAACTAGAGAAGTATTATCTTCAGATTGTCGTCTTAGATTGGCATGACGTCTTCTAGCAGGAATGTTGTCTGGCATGATTGCGAAGATGCTTCGTTCCGATTAAGGAGAGAAAACCCACCATGCGCACGTAGGAGTACATAATTTAATACGTCCTCTACGAAAATGTCAAACTGTGAAATGTGAAACGTTTAAAAAAGTAACTGTGTAACATTAAAACAAACACAACACAAATAATGGGTGCAAAGACCTTGGAATCGCTTAAATATTTCAAATAGCTCTCGATATTTTGTGGTCGACATTCACAAATAAATATGTTGACCAACCTACTTACCTTTTTTTGTTTCAAGGATAAATTTACTAAAGGTTTCTTTATTTTTTCATTATAAACTAAAATCTACACAGTAGTAATATACGCATTATAAATTTTATGAATTAATTTATGAATTTGTGTAATATTAATTGATTATAGCGATCGAGAAGACCTGGGACACGATTCCGTCCTGAAATTCGACGAACTAGCACTCAACACCTGCACCTGCAGACGACTTCTTCGCCGCGCACAGCTTTTAGGACGAGGCCAACGAGAAGACCGTCGGTCACAAGAACCACAGCGGTTGCGTATTCTTCGAGCAACGCGCCGGCCACTACTGAAAGTCCTGGTGAGCATGTCTTTTCGTACTTACAACGGCAGCTAAACAAAACCGATCCCCACTTTCGTTTATTCAATTCGATTTTGTTGCAAACCGCTTGCCACTTCACATTACTTGCGGTTTTGTTCTTTCTCCAACTGGAAATATACACTCACACTCAATCAATGCGTTAATCGTTACCAAACGCTCAGCAAACCGTGAATATATTTTTTTGTTTATTCGTGCATGAACAAAGGAAATTACACAAAGTTGCAACAATGCAAGGAAACAATCGAATGAATTTATGTACTTCTGCAGGAACTCGTGCGCCATCAAGAGTTGTAAACCGATTTAGAACAGCAACAAGAAGACGATTCCTTGGAAGTACAACAACTACATCTACAACAACTCAAGAACCAATTTCTACAACAATTAGTCATAAACTACCAAAATTGCTTCACGATCAAAGCATTGAATCAACCATTGAACACTCTAAAGAAGAAAATAGCAATCACAAGGAGACCACAGAGTTGGCTGATTTTGCGTTAGCTTTAAATAATATTCAAAAAGCTCCATTACCACAGGCAACAACCGCCAGGGACCAAACAGGGCGTGAAGTACGCAAATTCCAAGCGCAAACACCAAATAGTATATTAAACGATGAGAAACCAGTGTATCATACAGCATTTGAACAACAAATTGATAAGGTAGAGATATCATCACCACGACCGTTTCTTCCAGCTTCCCCCGCTACACCAGCGCCAGTAAGAGCAACTACAAGACGCTTCAAAACTACCAAAGCAACTATAGCCACTACTCCCAAACCCCATCCGGCTCAAATCTTTGATAAGCTTCCATCTGGTGTTCAGACCTACACCTACAAACCAATCACCGATTACGACTACTATGATGATGGCAATCCACGCATTTCCATTCCGGAACATAGTAAAGTTCTCATTCATAGTTCCGGTGTGATTGAGTGTTTGGACCAGGGCAATTTCCCACATCCAGTAAGCTGTAAGAAATTCATTTCATGCGCTAAAATGGAGACTGGCGACGTTCTGGGTTGGGAGTACACATGTCCAAAGAATTTAAGCTTTGATCCCATCGGTGGGATGTGTAATTGGTCCGCCGGGCTAGGATGCAATGAATAGAATCGGAAGGTTTTCTTGTTCGGCAATTAAAACAAGCGGCCATTTTATGTAATACTATTTAATGAAAATGCATTATTTTTTAACGACTAGATCAAACAATAGACATCTATATTTTAATGAATATTATTGATTTATTTATTGAATAAATGGTCAGTTAATTACTGTGCAATTAACGTAATTATTTTAAGATAATTACATTTAATAGCTGATATTACATTTAATGTGATTTCTGAAAACGATAACAATAGGAAATTTAAAGGTAGTTACTTTTTTTTTACTTTCTTAGTAAATTTTTATTTTTGATTGAATCAGCGTATTACGTTACTGTATCGAAGAGTAACAATAAATAAAGTTATTGTAATTGTGCAAAGGCGGTGATGTTTATTTAAAAGTTTACAACTTTAACATTTATTCAGTGCAGCCGGCAGCCCAGGCGTGGTCGCATACCTCAAGACGCTGGTTGAATTCCAAGCCAGATGGGCAGTCCTTCACATGATTTCCGTCATTAGCACAGTGACAGAACTTGGTACAATCTCCAGGGTATTGCCGATGGTTGTTATCAACAACGGGGAACACATCTGGACAGACTGCATCGCAAAGGTTGGTAGATGCGGCTGAAGTCGATTCTGTACTTGCTTCCTCAGTGGTAGTTTCGGAACTAGTTTCAGGGGTAGAGTTGCTAGTAGCTTCAGGGGTAGTGTCGGTATTAGGTTCAGAGGAGGTTTCGGAACTACTTTCAGGGGTAGAGTTGCTAGTAGCTTCAGGGGTAGTGTCGGTATTAGGTTCAGAGGAGGTTTCGGTACTACTTTCAGGGGTAGAGTTGCTAGTAGGTTCAGGGGTAGTGTCGGTATTTGGTTCAGAGGACGTTTCGGAACTACTTTCAGGGGTAGAGTTGCTAGTAGCTTCAGGGGTAGTGTCGGTATTAGGTTCAGAGGAGGTTTCGGTACTACTTTCAGGGGTAGAGTTGCTAGTAGCTTCAGGGGTAGTATCAGTATTAGGTGCAGCGGTGGTAGTTAGGGGGCAGTTTACATTTGCCTCATAGTCGCAGGTATTGGTGACCGGGTTGTACCATAAACCTGGTGAACACTCCTTAACCGTTGTGGTACCATGACTGCAAACGCAATACTTCTGACAGTCAAGACTATTGGAAGATGAGCTGCAATCATTTGGCCCACAGGGTGTATCGCAGCCGTCAGTAGGACCGGATGATCCGGTTGTGGAGGAAATAGGTCCACTGGTAGAGGAACTGGGTCCACTGGTAGAGGAAGCAGGTTCACTGGTAGTGGAATCAGGTTCTGACGTGGTTGAACTGACACTACCAGTATTGGGGGTACAGTTTGCGCTTGATGGCCAGTCACATGCCTCTAATTTCTCATTGAACTCAAGACCGGGAGGGCAAGGTTGCTTCCAGTTTCCATTGTTTGCACAATGGCAATAATATCCACAGTCAGGGTCGTATTTCAGGAGAACATTGTCCGTGATGGGATTATCGATTGGGCAGACGGCATCACATACTGGCTCAGGTTCATTACCCTTGACAGCAAGAGCCACTTGCATGACCAAGCATGCGCACACGGTTTGAAGTACAACTATATTATTGAAAATATAACAATTATTAGTATATTAGTAGATTAGTATTGCATAGAATAATTTTTTACTAAAACTTACTTTTCATCATATGTCGTTTGTTTTTGTTGCGATATGTTCTAAACTTGTTCAATAATGCGTAGAACTGTGTTCATTAAGATCAATTTTGATCATTTTATACTTTTTTTTAAAGATTTTTATCTGGATTTGATTGAATTAATATTATCAGCATGATATTTTTTTAATTCCGCGAATGTGCTGATAATTAAAAAAATACTTCAAAACACATACCTATTTAAATTCGTCATCAATCAAGGTAGAAATTTCGCTAATGGGAATATAACAAGTAATTGTAATCCACTTGTAAAATTCGATTTAATATACTTATTTCAAGTTTTAAATCTGATTAGAAAGGGATTACAATTATTTTATCAAAGGTAATTACTCAAATTAATTCGGGATAAAAGTCAATTGCTTTTTGTAATGACAATAATTATTACCATAAAAGTAGCTGAAATGGTGTAATCTTTGTTCATCCTAGTTTTTGCTGGATTCTATAGGTAATTAAATTTTTAAACAGGCCACGTTTACTTTTACAACTATATTCGTATTACGACAATAATTTTGTAAGTACTCATAACAGTTTCTTTTATGTAAAAATATTAAAATTTAGTCTATTTAAACTGCATTCATTTTAATGTTAGGTTAATTTTCAGGAAGCATTTCAATGGCGTTCAACAAAATGGCGACTAGTATGATACTAGTACTTTTACTTATCTATCAGGTAAATTACTTATGTGTAAAATACGAATTTAACTTTTAAATTGTTTTAATCAAAGGTTACAGGGCAAACAACTGTGCCACCAACTACCGTTGGATCAGTTTCGGAGAATCCAGCATATAATACAACTGGTATTATTTGCACATCCGAAAGAATCATTGATTTCATCAATATTGGAACCACATACATTCCCGACATTATGAAATGTACTGAAAAAATGGCAGACTTGGGATATGATTATCTCGTTGCAATGAACGACTTCTATAACTATAATTTCGACGACTTCCACCATGATTTTGATCATCGCGCCATTTGCAATAACTTGTTATGCACAGACGCAGACTTAAAATATGTGCTTAGTAAGTTGTTACGTCTCCGTGCTCAAATGTATGACATGATGGAAATGGTCAAGTATAAGAATATCATGCCCAAAGCTACAATGAGATGTGTGTATAAAGTATTGAAGAGGTTCACACGAGCTGCATCTTTAGCAATTGCTTGTCCTGCATAAAATTCATAAAATGTTTTACATCTACTAAGCAAGTAGACTTATGATATAAGTTCAAAAAACAACGTAATAAAACTCGTGCATGTTTTATTTTTATGAAGGTATAAACAAAAACCAACTACCACATATTACGACACTCATCGTTTTGAAAATGTTTGATTTAGACTTTGATTTGCTATTTTTTTATGATGGTTGTGTGAAGAATGTGAATTTAGGCTTCGAGAGTATTCGTTGCACCCGGCGAAATGTCAGTACCCAAACTGTTATCGGAAGGAATGGGTGATTCCCACTTGATCATGGTACGCCCGTGCAGTGAGTAATCTCGTGCATTTTTCAAACTGCTTATGACGCATGCGCTCAGCGCTGAGCGATTCAAACACATCGGCGCCGCTTCCAGCCACTCGTTGGTGTTAATATCATAGCACTCGACATGATTGATTGTCGTCGAACCTGCGACGAATCGATCTAGGTATAACACTGAGTTAAAATACGTCACAAGTAAGACAAGCCCGAGTGATGGTTGACCTACCATTGAATCCTCCAATGGCAAAGATATATCCGTCTAACACCACCGTTGCAAAATTGCTGCGTGAATAAAACATGTCCGCCATTATTTCCCAATTAGTATCCTTTCCGGGAGAGTACCGTTCGCCGGAAGTAAGTCTCGTAAATCCGTTGAATCCTCCTAGTGCATACAGGGTACCTTCACAGGCCACCAGACTAACACCCGAGCGTGCAGACGTCATAGAAGGAATGTATGACCATTGATTCGTGGCGATGTCATAAACCTCAGCGGAGTTCATCACTTCCACACCGTTAAATCCTCCCACAATGTAGATTTTATTATCCATGGCGGCTGCACTTGCATCCGAACGTTGTGATTGCATGGATTGTATCAACTCCCATTGATTTGTTCCCGGATCGTACCGTTCTACCGAACTCATTCGTATTCGGCCATTGTAGCCACCCAGTGCATAAATTTTGTTGTTATGTGTCGCGACGCTCACGTAACAACGAGGGTAATACATGCAAGCACAATCTCGCCATTGGTGTTTGATTGGGTCGAAGGACCTCACAGTACTGAAGTGTTCATTACCATCAAAGCCACCTTTAAATTATAATTACTAATGCATTTAAGTTATTCATTCGACCGCTAGAAGTACCGATCATGTAAATCAACCCATCAATTTGGCATATTCCGTGATAAGCACGCGGCACCTTATCACAATCGCGACTCAAGAGCCACCGATCCGCTCTGGTATCGTAGGTTTCAATGAAATTCGTTGGACTACCGGCTGTCCATCCACCAATCGCGAAGAGAATATCGTGTGGTACCCGTGGCCGCAGTAATGGATTCGATAACAAGTCAATATCAGTTTTTGGTACTTGACGAAGTTGAAGAAGGTTCTTTATCAGTGTTCGACATTCCTATAAATGATAATCAACGTTTTTTTGAGATGGTATCAATACTAATTGTCAAGTGATTAGGTTGGAATACGTGTGGGTAAGAAAACAATGTCAGGAGTAGAAAAAATAAGTCATTAAAACATGTTTCAGTTTTACGTAATTGGATGGCGCTGTATTTTCGAATGTATTTGTGGTGTTTTATAAAAATAACAGGAGCATACCAAAAAAAAAGAAGCGTAATAAGTATGTGATAAATACACTATTATCGTAGATCGGGGACCATTGTAATATGTATTCTAAGAATTCGTTGCTTAAGTTTCCTAAACGTATCGTATTTAGTAAAGGATGAGCGTATTTCTGCCTGGCAAATCGATCGAAGTCCACCCACTCTCTGATTGCATCAAATGCGATCTCTTCGGATTTAATATTCAGTTCATCGTCAGACATGATTTCTAGAAGGTCGGGGAATGACAGAAAGTAATACTCTTTAGATTTTTTATAAATCTCTACAAAATTATGTTGAATAAAATAGCGGCCACGTTTCTCCAATTGTTTACAAAAGTATTGACGCCCGAAACGTAACAGCCCCAGGCAATTCCTCGGCTCCAGGTGTTCTACATTAAAAAATCATTATTTTAATCAAAGTAAAGTGCATAATATTCAATTAAAACCTAAAATATACTGGCAGCAGTGTTGCATTACTCCCATCACTTCATACTGATCCGCAAATCGTATCAGTGACTCTAGTGATTCATGATTGACGTCGCATTTTCCCGTGTAGGCATAATCTAGGAGTTTACTGAAGATATTCGCTGATGTGTTCATGCAGGCAATTCGAGTTTCGGGTTGGTTACGATTTATTGAGTTTGTAAATAATGCCTAAAAAATTAATTAAATAATAATGTTGCTGTTATTGCAGGTATAATTTTCAACGCACTTTGAAGTAGGGACTAATGGCGGCTAGTATCACTCGATGCACTTTGAATTCAGTCCCATCTGCACACCGTACGGCACCATCGCAGAGTTGATTATTGTGTCGAAATTCAGACCAAATCGGCGGAAACTCGATGGGACTGACATGGCGTGGCGCGCAGAAACACTTCTGATTCACTTTGCACGACACAATCTTTTTTCGCTTTGCTTTGATTACCAACACATTCGTTTGTGTTGTGATCTTACTCGTTTTCGAGCGTACACCCATTGATTTTCTAAGTTTCAGTCCATATGATTGATGTTCATGCATGTTACGAATTCAAACACTTTTAAAATCTTAACGTCTTGTACTATTTTATCACTAAATTACTAATTCGATTCACAGCCACTCACTTTATTGCGATATGGATATTTCACTGTTATTTGTTTGATGTGTTTTGGATATGGTTTCTTTAAAATGTGGTATTTGGTCTGAGGTATTCTAATATAGTTTAAAACAGGAGTGGTCCTGAATTGACACTTAAAATCAAACTGATATATGCTGCTAGGGGTGCGACACGTGTCAGAAACTATCAAGGATTTATTGATTTAGAAAGCATTAGAAAATTAAGTACAACTTTAGGCGCAAAATATATATGAGCATATAAATTAATTGCTATTCTTCATTAATGTTACATTGCGTTGGCTACATTTCAGTACGTTCAGTTTGACTCATTTGATACCCGGATGTGCGTGTGGATAACGCACGAGCCATGTTAGGTTTACCAATACTGATGTAATATCGTTGTAGTAATTTGATCCACACTGTTCGTTTGCAAACAAATATGATGAAAATAAAAATCCCATAAATTGTATTACAAAAATCAGTTGGGTACCAAATCCAGTCAAGTTTCTTATCGCCTAGACACCATTCGACAATCCATGAAATCAACTCCAGCGACCAATTCATTCCCATTGCGATAAAAAGTTTAATGTATAAAACATAGTCTTGTTTGTTGGATTCAAAATGGCGTTGACTATCTTTACTACGTAACATTTTCTGATTGTCACGAATTGAACATCGAATTGTATGCGCCGTGATTATGAACAGAACTGCGTTGATAATTAACAAAACCGCCATTGGCCCATAGAAATATAATAATTGGGGTAATCCATCTAAAAATAGTTGGCGATACATTTTCAGGTTATGTATTTATATTTATATTTATATTTACTGGCAATCCAACATTGTGATTCACCAAACTGAGGATGACCAGAAAAATTTTCTAGTGTGTTTACTCCAAATAAAATACACAAGAGTATGATTGGGGCTCCATTTGAAAATGTAAAGTAGATTCCAAATTGTTTCCACTTGGAAGATCTTCCTTGAATCGGAGCACGTTTTCCACTTCAGAAATAATATTTTAAAAAATTAAAATTTTAAAGATAGAAGCAATAAAATTACTTACGAAAACGTCAAATACATATCAATGCATGTAATATTCATCCAACAAAATGTGGACATAAAAAAATAAACTCCACAAGCAGCTATAACAAAACATATTATCCGTGTTTATTAATTAGTGTTAAATAATGCTGCTACTCACCAACTATTTCACAAGCAGGATTTTCTAAATTGGGATTAATTTGTAAATATACCAGAAAAATGTACGCAAACATTAAACACATTATGTATGCCATCATACATTTTGTTTGTATCTTCTTGTCAGGTAGAATAAAATATATAACCAGTGTTATAAATAAAAATGGAATAGAGATCACCATTCCTACAATCAACATTTAATCAAACTATGCATAATATACTGCGGTTATCTCTTCCTGGATAGTAGCCATAATGACTAATTAAAGGATATTACTAATTTTGTTATTATTTATAGTTTTATATACATAATATTTGTTTTTACCATATTTGTTAACTTCCGTTGCATTATCTGAAGAGCTTTCTTCGCTCAAGCAAACTCGTACTTCAAGTTTTTCCAACATATCATTTCTAAGTTGGGCCACGCAATATTCATGCAATTCGAAATGCTGCTGCATGTCTTGAAAATACAACCTTCCATCTTTCAAAAGAAAATGCACGTCCCCATCTTCCAATGGATAGTAATTGCACGGTTTCCAATAAATGGATGCATGTTTAGCACCAGCTTCTGCGATGGTAAAGTTATCATGATATGTTGTGATATTTACGTTTTCGAAGTAATCATCATCGCAGGTTACGTTTCCGGGTGGTTCCGGATGTTTGGTGCAACACTTAGTTATACACAACTGAACATCACATACACATCCCATTAGTTTATCGTTGTGTTTGAAGTATTTGTCAGGAGAGTAAACGTTATTCTGGTGCAACATATTTTTAGTTTCATGGTCAAAAGTTCCATTAGAAATGTCGAGTACGTGCTTTTTATCACATTTATTTTCAATTGATGATGTTAAGTTTTCACAATTAGATATTTGCAAATTATTTAAAAGAAAAATAGCACACAAAATATATTTAGAAGTAATAAGAAACAGTTTCTGTTTTAAATTCGCTGTGTTCATGATTAACTAATTATTTAACTTATTAGACATGTTCACAACGCAAGACTACTTGTTTGATTGAGCTTTTTTATTGTATCGCTTGGGTTGACTTATCAAACTTAAGCATATCGCGGTAGTAACCACAATACATTTCCACATTGCGCTAAATATTTTGTGGCAAATAAAATGATAACATTGTGCGTAAACGTTTAATTAATGTGATTTTATTCGAATTAATTTTTTTGATATAATATAAGTCTATTTATTAGAAATATACCTGTTGGGATATATATTGTAAATTACTTTGTTAAACAAATATTTTTGAATTCCTTGATTTAACATAGGCAACTTAGTATTCCTATAGTATATAGAGGGAGGTAGTATGTCAGTTATGTTTAGTCTTGTTTACACAACGTGTACATAACTTACAAAGTCAGTGCATGTCACAGTGCATCTGCCAAACTTTTCTTCGACGGATATTGTAGAACAGAATCGGGTTGTAAGTCGTAATATCAGTATAAATTAGTAATTAATAACGGGTAATTTAAAATTACCCGTTTAGTGCATAGCTACATCAGATGTAGAATAACTATATCAATTGCAACAAATTGTAAGTATCGAAATTCTTTCATATTTTCATTCGTAACTTTTCTATTTACTTATGCTAATTTTTAACTTTTGCGATTAACTGACGTGGATATCACTGTTGGATTGGTTTAAGTTCCTAGCTACTAAGCCCTGTTTAAAATTAAAATATTCATGAAATATTTACATTTGCCGATCACTTCAACTACATTTTAAACGTTTAAAAAAATAAAATCTACATTTGTAAGTGCATAGTATTATTGAACAAAACATAAAACAAAACAAAAATGCAGAGAATCGGCTATAAAAATTGTAATATATTTATGTGCTGCAAAAGATTAATTTTTGTTAGTTTTAGTAGTTCTGCACTTGACTCTGACATACAAGGAAAACAATGCATTATATTGTAACCATTTAATTTCTGTATCATTTTCACAGATAACTGTAGTGATAAATTCGTTAATTTTCAACAAAAATTGCCTTTTTATGTTTTGAAAGACTAATTTTTGTTTGTTTAAGGAATTTTGCACTTCAACCCGACGTCCAAGGAGAATTATTCATGCATCAAATTGTAAGTATTGAATTTTTTATCACTTTCATAAAAAATTTGAGTGATTAGCTTATTAATTAGCAGCAAAAATTGCATTTTTGAGTTTCGAATGACTAATTTTGGCTGCTTTTAGGGGTTTTGCTCCTGTGTCCGACTTCGTAGGAGAACCATTCTTTCATCAGATTGTAAGTATTGAATTTCTTTATCATTTTTATCAATGACTTTGGTGATTAGCATATTAATAAGCAGCTCAAATTGCATTTTTGTGTTGCGATTGACTAATTTTGGCTGGTTTTAGGGGTTTTGCACCTGAGTCCAATTTCACAGGAGAACCATTCTTACATCAGATTATAAGTATTGAATTTCTTTATCATTTTCATAAATAACTTTAGCGATTAGCTTGTTAATTAGCAGCAAAAATTGCATTTTTGTGTTTCGAATGACTAATTTTTGCTTGTTTTAGGGATTTTGCACCTGAGCCCGACTTCGTAGGAGAGCCATTCTTTCATCAGATTGTAAGTATTGAATTTCTTTATTATTTTCATAAATAACTTTAGCGATTAGCTTGTTAATTAGCAGCAAAAATTGCATTTTTGTGTTTCGAATGACTAATTTTTGCTTGTTTTAGGGGGTTTCCACCTGAGCCCGACTTCGTAGGAGAACCATTCTTACATCAGATTATAAGTATTGAATTTCTTTATCATTTTCATAAATAACTTTAGCGATTAGCTTGTTAATTAGCAGCAAAAATTGCATTTTTGTGTTTCGAATGACTAATTTTTGCTTGTTTTAGGGGTTTTGCACCTGAGCCTGACTTCGTAGGAGAACCATTCTTTCATCAGATGGTAAGTATTGAATTTCTTTATCATTTCCAAAAATAATTTTAGCGATTAGCTTGTTAATTAGCAGCAAAAATTGCATTTTTGTGTTTTGAATGACTAATTTTTGCTTGTTTTAGGGATTTTGCACCTGAGTCCGACTTTGTAGGAGAACCATTCTTTCATCAGATTGTAAGTATTGAATTTCTTTATCATTTTCATAAATAATTTTATCGATTAGCTTAATAATTAGAAGCAAAAATTGCATTTTTGTGTTTCGAATGACTAATTTTTGCTTGTTTTAGGGATTTTGCACCTGAGCCCGACTTTGTAGGAGAACCATTCCTTCATCAGATGGTAAGTATTGAATTTCTTTATCATTTCCATAAATAACTTTAGCGATTAGCTTGTTAATTTGCAGCAAAAATTGAATTTTTGTGTTTCGAATGATTAATTGTTGCTTGTTTTAGGGGTTTTGCACCTGAGCCCGACTTTGTAGGAGAACCATTATTCCATCAGATTGTAAGTATTGATTGTCGTTATCATTTTCATAAATAACTTTGTCGATTAGCTTGATAATTAGCAGCAAAAATTGCATTTTTGTGTTTCGAATGACTAATTTTTGCTTTTTTTCGGGCTTTTGCACCTGAGCCCGACTTAGCAGGAGAACCATTCCTTCATCAGATGGTAAGTATTGAATTTCTTTATCATTTTCATTATTAACTTTACCGATTAGCTAATTAATTAGCAGCAAAAATTGCATTTTTGTGTTTCGAATGACTAATTTTTGCTGGTTTTAGGAGTTTTGTACCTGAGCCCGACATCGTAGGAGAACCATTCTTTCATCAGATTGTAAATATTGAATTTCTTTATCGGTTTCATAAATAACTTTACCGGTTAGCTTGTTAATTACCAGCAAAAATTGCATTTTTGTGTTTCAAATGACTAATTTTTGCTTGTTTTAGGGGGTTTCCACCTGAGCCCGACTTCGTAGGAGAACCATTCTTACATCAGATTATAAGTATTGAATTTCTTTATCATTTTCATAACTAACTTTAGCGATTAGCTTGTTAATTAGCAGCAAAAATTGCATTTTTGTGTTTCGAATGACTAATTTTTGCTTGTTTTAGGGGTTTTGCACCTGAGCCCGACTTTGTAGGAGAACCATTCTTTCATTAGATTATAAGTATTGAATTTCTTTATTATTTTCATAAATAACTTTAGCGATTAGCTTGTTAATTAGCAGCAAAAATTGCATTTTTGTGTTTCGAATGACTAATTTTGCTTGTTTTAGGGGGTTTCCACCTGAGCCCGACTTCGTAGGAGAACCATTCTTACATCAGATTATAAGTATTGAATTTCCTTATCATTTTCATAAATAACTTTAGCGATTAGCTTGTTAATTAGCAGCAAAAATTGCATTTTTGTGTTTCGAATGACTAATTTTTTCTTGTTTTAGGGGTTTTGCACCTGAGCCTGACTTCGTAGGAGAACCATTCTTTCATCAGATGGTAAGTATTGAAATTCTTTATCATTTCCAAAAATAATTTTAGCGATTAGCTTGTTAATTAGCAGCAAAAATTGCATTTTTGTGTTTTGAATGACTAATTTTTGCTTGTTTTAGGGATTTTGCACCTGAGTCCGACTTTGTAGGAGAACCATTCTTTCATCAGATTGTAAGTATTGAATTTCTTTATCATTTTCATAAATAATTTTATCGATTAGCTTAATAATTAGAAGCAAAAATTGCATTTTTGTGTTTCGAATGACTAATTTTTGCTTGTTTTAGGGATTTTGCACCTGAGCCCGACTTTGTAGGAGAACCATTCCTTCATCAGATGGTAAGTATTGAATTTCTTTATCATTTCCATAAATAACTTTAGCGATTAGCTTGTTAATTTGCAGCAAAAATTGAATTTTTGTGTTTCGAATGATTAATTGTTGCTTGTTTTAGGGGTTTTGCACCTGAGCCCGACTTTGTAGGAGAACCATTATTCCATCAGATTGTAAGTATTGATTGTCGTTATCATTTTCATAAATAACTTTGTCGATTAGCTTGATAATTAGCAGCAAAAATTGCATTTTTGTGTTTCGAATGACTAATTTTTGTTTTTTTTCGGGCTTTTGCACCTGAGCCCGACTTAGCAGGAGAACCATTCCTTCATCAGATGGTAAGTATTGAATTTCTTTATCATTTTCATTATTAACTTTACCGATTAGCTAATTAATTAGCAGCAAAAATTGCATTTTTGTGTTTCGAATGACTAATTTTTGCTGGTTTTAGGAGTTTTGTACCTGAGCCCGACATCGTAGGAGAACCATTCTTTCATCAGATTGTAAATATTGAATTTCTTTATCGGTTTCATAAATAACTTTACCGGTTATCTTGTTAATTACCAGCAAAAATTGCATTTTTGTGTTTCGAATGACTAATTTTTGCTTGTTTTAGGGGGTTTCCACCTGAGCCCGACTTCGTAGGAGAACCATTATTACATCAGATTATAAGTATTGAATTTCTTTATCATTTTCATAAATAACTTTAGCGATTAGCTTGTTAATTAGCAGCAAAAATTGCATTTTTGTGTTTCGAATGACTAATTTTTGCTTGTTTTAGGGGTTTTGCACCTGAGCCCGACTTTGTAGGAGAACCATTCTTTCATTAGATTATAAGTATTGAATTTCTTTATTATTTTCATAAATAACTTTAGCGATTAGCTTGTTAATTAGCAGCAAAAATTGCATTTTTGTGATTCGAATGACTAAGTTTTGCTTGTTTTAGGGGTTTTGCACCTGAGCCCGATTTCGTAAGAGAACAATTCTTTCATCAGATTATAAGTATTGAATTTCTTTATCATTTTCATAAATAACTTAGCGATTAGCTTAATAATTAGCAGCAAAAATTGCATTTTTGTGTTTTGAATGACTAATTTTTGCTTGTTTTAAGGGTTTTGTACCTGAGCCCGACTTCGTAGGAAAACCATTCTTTCATCAGATTGTAAGTATTGAATTTCTTCATAATTTTCATAAATAACTTTAGCGATTAGCTTATTAATTAGCAGCAAAAATTACATTTTTGTGTTTCGAGTGACTAATTTTTGCTGGTTTAAGGGGTTTTGCACCTGAGCCCGACTTTGTAGGAGAACCATTCTTTTATCAGATTATAAGTATTGCATTTCTTTATCATTTTCATAAATAACTTTAGCGATTAGCTTGTTAATTAGCAGCAAAAATTGCATTTTTGTGTATCGAATGACTAATTTTGGCTTGTTTTGGGGGTTTAGCAGCTGAGCCCGACTTCGTAGGAGAACCATCTTTCATCAGATTGTAAATATTGGATATCTTTATCATGTTCAATAATAATTTTAGTAATTTACATATTAATTACCAACAAAAATTGCGTTTTCGTGTTTCGAATGACTAATTTTTGCACGTTTTGGGGGTAAGCGCCTGAATGCGGCTGCTCCTTAATATCAGCGGGGTCCCTAAAGATGTAGAATTTAATTCTTCGTCGCGTTATATTCTATTTTCGTAGGAGATGAACCTGTAAAACGTGAATTGTTACAAAAATTATACGTTTTGTACGTTGTTATGTCGGTAACTTTCAACTGTTGTTTACATCTAGTCATTTTGAATTGTTTTCACAATTATATATAACATGGATAGTTTTTATTTTTCTTTCGATCAAGTAACTTATATAGAAATGGCATTATGAGGTGAGCTAGAGCAAGAGGGAAATACTCCAAAATTTCATGTTCTATAAAATATGTATCTATACTTCGTGGTTTCTGCTTTCAGTTCTACCTTGACTTGCGCAGCATACTGTGCGCAACTATTTGAGCAGTACCGTGCCGATTGTCGTCTTCAAGTTTCGTCAGTCGGTGGTGCGCAGCGGTGTGGTCCTTACGTGTTTCTTTGCTCTGTCGACTTTCATCGCGGCTGTTAGCAATTCTGCTGTTTTAATACGGTAGAAGCATTGAAATTGTTTGCCATCGACTATTGACTAACTGATTTATCGCGAATCAACTCCTAAGAGATCTCATCATGTCCGCGTGTGAATGGTATTCGTCGCCGGCCGTCGGATCTCTTTTGTGCTGCTACGGATTTCAACTGGATTTGCTGGGTAAAATTATTCAATTCTTAATTCTTCAGCATAAAGCACGTGTTTTTTCTTGTGTGGGATTGTTGCCAGTGCAAAAGTACTACAGTGAGAAGTAAATCAATTCTACTTTGTGTAGTTTGGAGCTTCATGGATAGAACAACAAAGGAGTATTTAACATCAAGTAAACAATTTCATCTGTACACAAAATTGTAATCTAAAATCACGTTTATTTTATCAATAACTATATATTTATATATACGCTAAATTAATATGGATCGATGAAACTAAAATTATAGTCTTTCTTTATTTTTGTATTGTCATACATTTGCATATAATATATTTAATACTGTCGCAAGTGGCCGTATAGTTTCAAAATGCGTACGTAACAATACCTATGATATGTTCTTAATTTTGACTAGTATAAAGTTGCATTGTATGTTTTATTGAAATATCCATTGCAACGGTGTTATGGATGTGCGTATTTTAAGGCAAGTCTTTACGTTCTCGGAATTTCATAGCCATGGTAATTTTCGATATGTATAATTGTATATATTTTTATATAATGTTTGTAAATAAAACACAATATAATATTACAATCTCTTTCATATATTTTTTTGGTATCATTCTCTCTGTCATTTTCAGGATTGACGTATTAAGTCATATTGCATATAAGTCTTATACGCGTAGAGCGTGTGCAACATAGTTAATCTTAGCATAATGTTATTATTTTTAAAAAGTTGAATAAAATAAAAACATAAATAGAAGAATCAAATAGCAATAATAAAAACACTCGGTGGTCGAGTGGAGACGTGCACCTGCTGGCATGCTAGCAGACACGGATCGAATCCCAGATATAGAAGGCATTTTTCTCAAATATAAAAATATCAGGTGAAATTTGGGTTGCATATATGAATTGCAACGAAATATAAGAGAAATTGAAATACAAGTGAAGGCAATAAGTAGAAGTAAGAAAGTAAATGGGGAAACGAGAACAGGGAAAAAGGAGAATAAGAAGTAGGACAGAAGATAGAAGGAAGAGAACAGAGTAGAGAAGAGGAGGAGATAGAAGAAAGAGAACAGGGAAGGTTCAGACTTTTATATTTTTTGGCACGTGTCGTTATAAGACAGTCTTACGGTCGATCTGCTTCGATGCGTCCATTGCTCCCGGCCCATCCTACAGCTACGATGTCTCTGCGCTTCATCCCCGAAATTATCAGGCATATCAACAATTTTTATGGTGGGGGATCATCCCCCGAGTGGGAGAACTCCTTATAAGGACATCCTTTTAAGAACTTATAAAAATAGTTTTAAGTCGTCTCAGGAAAGGGGACACTTAAAAATATTCTTACAAGTTCTGACCTGTGCCTGAAATGAGAGAAGGAGTACACAAATCATACAAGATACCTTAACAATTTTTATAGTGGGGATCATCTCCTGAGAGAGGGAACTCTTCTAGAGACCTGTTCCTGAAATGATAGAAGGGGTACACACAAATCAAAGAAGTCAGTATATCTTACTAGTTCTTTATTAACAATAGAATACAAGTTTAGATTTTACAAGTCAACAAAATACATCCCGCCATATTGAGACAGGACTTACGAGCTGCCTAGCCGCGCACATATAAGCAAGTACCAGTTCGTACAGTTCTGCCGGGATAAAGAAATTAGCAAATAGTCCATTTTCTAGGTGAATGAAAATGGAAATAAATATACTGGGTGTTACAATAAAAAATAATATGACAACAGAAAAACATTTAAACACTACAAATATTGCTCGTTTTTCACGCGAGGCTTCGGGAAATTGATATACAGGGTGTTACAAAAATAAAACAACTTCATTTTAGAATATACGTCAACAGCAAACTTTTAAACATTACAAATATGGCTATTTTTCGCGTGACATAAAGGAAAATTGGTATACAGGGTGTTGTCAAAAGAAAATTTATAGATCGAAACGAGACACTCCAAAATAATAAATAAAGCTCATTTATGCATGGATGTCAAAGGAAATTAAGATACAGAGTGTCTCAAATAGATATTTGTAACTTGCAATTAAAAAACAACCAAAACCTACAAGTATAGCTTATGTTCACTCAATGAAAAGGAATGTACAGATTGTTAGAGAAAGAAAATTCGAAGTTCAAGAAAGACAAGGACCAAAACTAGAAAGACAATCTATTTTCCACGTGATGTTATACAAAGAAAACAATTTATAATAAAATGTATTTTTTTTAATAGTCCCGCTTGAGATGCTAGCCGACGGGTCGACGGGTCGCAATAAATTTACACTAAGACACGTTAATTGTTGATGAAATGCAAATAGATTTAGCAAATTAATGCTACGGTTTATTAGTGTTACGCGTAATGGAAACAAAGATTCGCGATTGATTGTCTTGTTTTGTTGGAGAAAACTTGTGACACAAACCATGTTGGAAACGACAATTTCCTGATTAATTTTACTTACATGGCTATATTTGCTAATTGAGAACCAACAAGTTCTTTTCCAAAATTAAGTTAAGCATAATTCCACAGCGATGGCCGAGGGCCGACGGAACCACATGCGAGCAAATGAACTAACGATGAATCTACGATTGATGCACATTTAACGCGTGCAATCGTACTAGCAAAACTCCGGATCACACCCGATTCCTATATATGCCGTTAATTGTTTGTGGAATATAATCCGATATACCTAATTATGATCGGACGAAACAGAACTAGTTGTGATGAACACGCGCTATTTATCCGGCGTTCGAAATAAAACTGCAACGTGTCCAGTCCACGGCGTCAACACGCGGTCACTATCAGTTTCCAATATGCTTGGTGAACGCGACCCTGGAGATAGGTGATTTCATTTTGCTTGTTGGCTGCGCGCAACTCAAAACAATGTTTATTCACGATTACTAATAAAGGCAGGATGTCATAAATAATCAAATAAATAAAAATGTTATAAATAGAGAATACAAAGAAAAACAACTACATTCTGGAAGAGAACCCAAAATTGCAGGAAGATATCTTTCTAAACTTCCAAAAAATCAACGAATTTTTGAATAATGTACGAGAAATTGAACCCAAGCTTTGAATTACTTAATTATAACTATCTTTACAAAGTATTTGACAGCGGATCTCCAAAAGCAAATACTGAAGCAGATTCCGAATATTTCGAATTTTCAATCTGTTTCGTTCTACCGCATTTAGTTACGAGTAATGAGAAAATAAATAAATATTGAGAAACACGAGTCTTATTTTCCCGATTTTTGTATGGTATCTAATAAAGAATTTCGTAGATTAAGAATTTGCAATTCATTCTTTCCTATCGCGTTTAGTTTACAATATCGCGGAAAATGATGTTTCGTCGTAGAAAGACAATACATGACAACCCACATGTTCCGGACAATTGATAAATGTCACTTTTTAGCACTTTTAGTCGCGTTTTTCGACCTTTCACTGTAGGAAATATAATTATTTTATATTTTTATCTGATAGAGAAATTTCCAGTCTTTCATAATCAACAATTCGTTGGTTGCTATCGCATTTGGTTTAAGAGATATTAATTATCGAAAATCCTCAATAAAAATTATCAAGCACCCCCCCTTGGCGATTTTTTTCTTAAGAATTAAAACTTCATCTCTCAGATTTCCGTTTTAACTATCCTATCTTATAGAAAATGGTCCGTACATTAAGATGCTGCGATCAGATCCTATTTATCTCTTTTAGTTTACGAGATCTTCGCGATTGAATAAAATGGAAAAAATTGATAAATGTCACTTTTTAGCACTTTTAGTCGCGTTTTTCGACCTTTTATTGTAGGAAATATAATTATTTTATATTTTTATCTGATAGAGAATTTTCCAGTCTTTCTTAATCAGCAATTCGTTGGTTGCTATCGCATTTGGTTTAAGTGGTATTAATTATCGAAAATCCTCGATAAAAATTATCAAGCACCCCCCCTCGGCGATTTTTTTCTTAAGAATTAAAACTTCATCTCTCAGATTTCCGTTTTAACTATCCTATCTTATAGAAAATGGTCCGTACATTAAGATGCTGCGATCAGATCCTATTTATCTCTTTTAGTTTACGAGATATTCGCGATCGAATAAAATAGGCAAAAATTGATAAATGTCACTTTTTAGCACTTTTAGTCGCGTTTTTCGACCTTTTACTGTAGGAAATATAATTATTTTATATTTTTATCTGATAGAGAAATTTCCAGTCTTTCATAATCAACAATTCGTTGGTTGCTATCGCATTTGGTTTAAGAGATATTAATTATCGAAAATCCTCAATAAAAATTATCAAGCACCCCCCCTTGGCGATTTTTTTTCTTAAGAATTAAAACTTCATCTCTCAGATTTCCGTTTTAACTATCCTATCTTATAGAGAATGGTCCGTACATTAAGATGCTGCGATCAGATCCTATTTATCTCTTTTAGTTTACGAGATATTCGCGATTGAAGAAAATAGGCAAAAATTGATAAATGTCACTTTTTAGCACTTTTAGTCGCGATTTTCGACCTTTTATTGTAGGAAATATAATTATTTTATATTTTTATCTGATAGAGAAATTTCCAGTCTTTCATAATCAACAATTCGTTGGTGGCTATCGCATTTGGTTTAAGAGGTATTAATTATCGAAAATCCTCGATAAAAATTATCAAGCACCCCCCCTTGGCGATTTTTTTCTTAAGAATTAAAACTTCATCTCTCAGATTTCCGTTTTAACTATCCTATCTTATAGAGAATGGTCCGTACATTAAGATGCTGCGATCAGATCCTATTTATCTCTTTTAGTTTACGAGATATACGCGATTGAAGAAAATATGCAAAAATTGATACATGTCACTTTTTAGCACTTTTAGTCGCGTTTTTCGACCTTTTATTGTAGGAAATATAATTATTTTGTATTTTTATCTGATAGAGAAATTTCCAGTCTTTCATAATCAACAATTCGTTGGTTGCTATCGCATTTGGTTTAAGCGATATTAATTATCGAAAATCCTCGATAAAAATTATCAAGCACCCCCCCTTGGCGATTTTTTTCTTAAGAATTAAAACTTCATCTCTCAGATTTCCGTTTTAACTATCCTATCTTATAGAAAATGGTCCGTACATTAAGATGCTGCGATCAGATCCTATTTATCTCTTTTAGTTTACGAGATATTCGCGATCGAAGAAAATAGGCAAAAATTGATAAATGTCACTTTTTAGCACTTTTAGTCGCGTTTTTCGACCTTTTACTGTAGGAAATATAATTATTTTATATTTTTATCTGATAGAGAAATTTCCAGTCTTTCATAATCAACAATTCGTTGGTTGCTATCGCATTTGGTTTAAGAGATATTAATTATCGAAAATCCTCAATAAAAATTATCAAGCACCCCCCCTTGGCGATTTTTTTTCTTAAGAATTAAAACTTCATCTCTCAGATTTCCGTTTTAACTATCCTATCTTATAGAGAATGGTCCGTACATTAAGATGCTGCGATCAGATCCTATTTATCTCTTTTAGTTTACGAGATATTCGCGATTGAAGAAAATAGGCAAAAATTGATAAATGTCACTTTTTAGGCCTTTTAGTCGCGTTTTTCGACCTTTTATTGTAGGAAATATAATTATTTTGTATTTTTATCTGATAGAGAAATTTCCAGTCTTTCATAATCAACAATTCGTTGGTTGCTATCGCATTTGGTTTAAGCGATATTAATTATCGAAAATCCTCGATAAAAATTATCAAGCACCCCCCCTTGGCGATTTTTTTCTTAAGAATTAAAACTTCACCTCTCAGATTTCCGTTTTAACTATCCTATCTTATAGAGAATGGTCCGTACATTAAGATGCTGCGATTAGATCCTATTTATCTCTTTTAGTTTACGAGATATTTGCGATTGAAGAAAATAGGCAAAAATTGATAAATGTCACTTTTTAGCACTTTCAGTCGCGTTTTTTGGCAATTTTTTCTTAAGAATTAAAATTTCATCCCTCAAATTTCCGTTTTAACTAGCCTATCTTATAAAGAATTTTATGTAGATTAAGAATCTGCATTTGTTCCTTTTTATCTCTTTTAGTTTACGAGATATTCGCGATTTAAAAAAAATCGCCAAATTTGAAAAATTTTAATTTTTAGCACTTTTAATCACATTTTTTGCCCTTTTGCCCAACGATATTTAATTATTTTATATTCTACTCTAATAGAGAATTTTCCAATCTTTCATTATCAGCAATTAGTTGTCGCTTTTGTTAGCTTTTGGCATACTTGAAGATTGTTAATATATAATATACTCAGAAAATATTCAGAATCAAGTGGCTTGTGGCAAGCTACGAAGCATCGCACAAAGATTATTTGTGTTCCCTAATTCTCTCGCAGACTAAACCATATAAACGAATACGTTCGTCTCTTTTTAGTGTCGTTTCATTAATTTTGAAATCACAACGATTCTAAAGAAGTTTTCCCTTCAAACATTGAAAAAAAAGTGACATTTACAGCGCGATTTTAAGGCACTTCCCGCATGATTACAGTATTCCCATTATACGCGACTAAAGACATCATTGTAATAATAATTAACAACTTACCGCGTTGGCTTACCAGCACTGAGTAATTAAAGGAAGCACTGAAACAGAAAATAAAAACACGTGTGTTAGATAACGAACTGTGACTGTGCAGTGCGCACTTATTAAGTCTACCCGTCGGATAGAGTCTTGTATTCAATCAAAATTTTAACTGCTAACGCACAAATGAAAACCCGAGTTTAATAACGATTAACCCAAAAATTATTATAAGCACAACACTAAATAGTTTATTATCATTACGTGTTGATATTTATGTTGATAATTAACGCATTCCATAGAATTGAAATTTAAGAAAGAAGACAAACCGCGTGCAAATAACAACAGACTGAAACGTTCAAACGATCGAAGCACGAGCGCAGCATGGAACAGGTTCGAAGCAATAAAAAAGTTGTTTATGCACAAACACCGACAATCGCGTTGAAAAAGAAACATTCGCGTATGTAGGTGTACTACAATTTATACAATGTTAAAAAGAGACATGGAATCGGGTATGTGAAGCGGCTGCGTGCTGGCGTCCCTATTTTCCACGACGAAACTTTAAAAAAATTTAATAATTTGTGAAATTTGCAGAGCGATTTTAAGACACTTTTTGCATGATTTCAGAGGGCGGTAATTGCGTATCGTTAAGATTGTCTCTCGCGATATAAGAAACAGAAGAAAATGTGCAAATACGCCGAAGGGTTCCCGATATATCACCGGCTTTTCACCACAAAACTTTAAAACTGTGGAAAATAGTGAAATTACTAGGGAAATTACGCTCGCATAGTGTGGCTAAATTAAAGCAGAAGTGGAAAGTTGCAGGTTTTAATGCATCTCGAAATAGAATTAAAAACTCGATTGCAAATGTTATAAATAATTTAATTAAAACATTACCTTATAAACTGATTTTATTATAACTCTGATGGGTAGTAAATTCACATCTGATTAGACCGACGGCCAACTACATCTCACTCGCGTACAAACTCTTAAACAACTTGCACTTATTTCCTACGGTGGACTATGGTTGATTTCGAGGTGCCCTCCGTGACAACCTTCCATAAACAACATGTAAATCGCGTTTTAATTTAATGCAATTTACCGATAAAAAATAACAAGTCAAGTGCAGTCACAAAATACGCGTACGAACCAGTCGCTTGAACGCAGAGACAGCAACCAGAGATAAGACTGCCTGCAGCTAAATGTTTCGCTCGTCGAGCGAAATAAAATTTGTTTACAAAGAAAGAAAAGAATGACGGCCATGCAACTCTATACACGTCGCAACTCTATACAAGATAACTATTACAGATAAGAGATTGTTATTGAATTCGAACATTGTTGGAATGCATATGCAATTCATTGGAATACAGACTTTACGTAGAAATCCAAAGAAAAATTATATTTACCAAGTATAATACTTGCTGAGAACTTCTGCCCACGACGAAAGTGGTTTGTACCAATTCAAAATTCACTGGGAACCAATTTAAATCAATTTTATTGCCAATAACATGATATTGAGGTAGGCGTCCGACGGCAACGCACTCACGAACACACACGAAATCATACATAACAAACTAAATTGGAAGGCACAGGGATTCCACACACTAAATTATAAATTATTAATAGAACACTAAAATCGACTATTAACCGATTTTCGCGATTTGCCGAATTTATTATAGACGACCGTAATGTTACGTCCGTAACATGAAGCGTGAGAAGTGAACCGACACCGACGGAATGCCATCAATTCTCTCGCTCTCGTATTTTTGTGAGAAAAATGAATAGTTGCGCCACCTAAGCTTACTTTTTAATACTCAAGATACTATATACCATATAGTGTTTCGTAGAGCGTAGCGTGCGTTGGGTGAAGTGAGTGAGAAAGTTTGACTAAGCCAGCGAATGCGCACCACGCAATCTAAATGAATAACAATTTTACATCAACAATACAATAACTTAAACCTAGATGACGCTAGCTAGAATGTACATATTTAATAACTTAAAAAAAATTGACTTGTTAAATAGTTTAATCGAAGTAATGAAATTAAAAACCTGTACATTATACGAAAAGCACTAAGCAGTCTTAAGATTTGTAAACACCTACATTTGTAAAAATGCGACAATTTATGGCACACAAGATTAAAATTGATATTTAGAAAGTACATATCCAAATAAATAGTTACATATAGTAATCATCAATTAATAGACGTCGAACATGGCGGTGCGGCATTGCAATATGCAATGCCAATAAGTACATTTAAGCGCATGTAATAATTATTACATTGGATTCAATTTCATTGAATAATTATGGGATACTGTTGAATCCTCCACATTAGTTCTTTCAGTTACACTTGTATGATTACCCGAAGTGTGTGTAGATAATGCGCGCGCCATGTTGGGTTTGCCCATGCAGACATAATATCTAAAAGAAGAAAAAAACACGCTTATAACCACATAAACAGATAATGCATTGCAGATTTTGTAGGCTCATTCAGAATTAATTGCGACAACATCGATGCGCGTATTAAATGTGTTAATTTGGCACGAATTATGTGAAAATAAATTGGTACATGAGGCGTGCTTGTATCACCACGGAACTAAATACTGCATATCGATAAAGTAAGTTTCATCAATAGTTGTGCGGTCATAATTCTGCATGAACTCGTAATTGTATTTCTTTTGACAAGTTTTTAACCTGAAATGTTTCGAAATGAATAAAAATGGAATATTAGTAAGTGGATAATTAAATTATACCTTTGTTTCAATTTGATCCAAACAGCCTTTTTGCAAACAAATAAAACAAAGATGAAAATGCCATAGATGGCATTACAGAAGTCGGTCGGGTACCAAATCCATGTGACTTTGTCATGACCTAAACACCAATCGACTGTAAACGAAATAAACTCCATTGTCCAATTGATTCCCATTGCACCGAAGAGTTTCACGTAGAGAACATAGTCCTGTTTATTTGATTCACTATGACGTTGGCTTTCCTTGCTGCGTAGCATTTTCTGATTATCACGAATCGTAGTGCGGATTGTATGCGCAGTGATGATGAAGAGGACAAAGTTGATGCTAACTAAAATCGCCATTGGCAGATAAAAATATAAGAACTGAGAGAGACCATCTAAAAATAAAAATACAAATGTATAACAATCAATTGAATTAATTAATAATATATTATGTTTTACTAACGTGCAAGCCAGCATTGTCCATGTCCAAATTCGGGATGTCCATGAAACGTTTTAAGTGAATTAACGCCGAAGACAATAGCAAGTAATATAAGCGGTGCGCCATTTGCAAAAGCGCAGTACAGAAGGAAGCGTTTCCATTTTGATGAATTGCCTTGCACCGGCCCTCGTTTACCACTAAAAACGTATTTTTATGATCATTTAATCGTTCAACCGGAAGTAGGTATTAATTAAACTTACGAGAATGTCCAATACATATCGATACAAGTGACATTCATCCAACAAAACGTTGCCATGAAGAAATACAATCCCAAAGAAGCTAAAACCAAGATATATTTGAAAAATATTAACACACAACGGTAATACTAAAAAATACTAACCCATTATTTGACAATGTGGTGATGGCAAATCCGCGTTAAATTGTAAATAAATTAAGACAATATACGAGAGCATCAAGCAAGTCACGTAAGCCATCATACATTTGATTTGTATCTTCTTATCCGGCAGAATAAAATAGATAATTAGTGTGGCCAACAAAAACGGTACGGAAATCAACATTCCTGAAACACAAAAAACATAGTAAGTAAATATTCTTAATGTCATAGTGTTATCAATATGAGTGGTTTCCCTTTCCGGGAAATTATGCAATTTTGCGAATCATCGATGATTAAGCTAATAAAACAATTTATTGTTTGTAAATAGTGATTAATCAAGAAAATATCCAATGAAACATATATCGGTATTGCTCGTTACCGTAGGTATTCAACGATATTCCATCTTCTTCAAAATCCTCCTCATGAAAACACAATCGAACTTCAATATTGTTATGAGTTTCATTCCTAAACTGAACTACGCAATATTCATTCAATTCAAAATACATTTCCATGAGCGGAAAATACAATCTTCCATCTTCTAAGATATAATATATATCATCGGGTTCTAACACAAGATACATGCATTCTTTCCATTCGACAGACAAATGTTTAGCATTTTGCTCTGCCAATGTAAAATCATCATTGTGAGTGTTTATTTGCACATCCGGCGAATATCCAGACTCGCAGGAACTATTCCTAGGCGTGGCATCAGTACAACACTTCGCAACGCACACTTTCAAATCACATACACAACCAAATAGTTCATCACCGTGATCTACGTGTGCGAAATATTTGTCAGGTGGATAAACAACATCTTCGTGCTTTATAGTTTTAGTGACGTCATCAAATGCTCCGTTAGATATGTTAATCGCGTGGTTTTTATCACATTCGGTTTCAAATGTCATGACTTCACTAATTTTTAATACTATCATTAGTTTTATAAACGTTCGTAACATTTTATAATATGCTTGATTAAATGTTGTGTGGATACTGTTGCTACTGTGGCAAACAAATTTTATTTTTTCCGGTATACTCGTATGTCGATTGAGCAAATATTTGTCCATACAGTTTAAATAAACCGTAGGTTAAGAGGGGTTTTCGGAACCCATAACCGCCACTCAAAATATTTGCTTTTGAAAATAGATTTATGCATTTTATTAAAAAACTATTGACTAAAACAAAACCAAAAGCAGATTTTACACTAGATGATGAAGTGAGGAAAGTTTCGTTTTGCTTGATTTTGGAAATTGTATTATCTAATCTTTTTATCGCTTAATGGCAAAGTAAACATTCGCAACCAACAATTATATAAAAAACATTAACAAATTACTAATAATTAAATGAATGTTTTAAAAGTGCAAAACAATTATTTCGGAGTGATTTATGTCTCGACTTTTGTTTTAGTGTAAGTATGATAAAAGTGTTAATACCATATTTGTGAAATTCCTCAACTTCTTGCCCCACACTGGCTAATTCCTCTTGGTCAAAGCATAATCGTACAGACAGTTTGTTCTCGTTTTCGTCCTGAGCAACACAATATTCATGCAAGTTGAAGTGTCTATCCTCCATGTCAAAGTACAGTCTACCATCATTTTTTAAATAATAAGTATCACCCTCTTCCAGTTCATAATATGAACAATTATTCCAATATGTCGAAACATGTCGTGGGTTTTGTGCTGCCCTAGTGATATTTTCATGATAGGTATCAACTCTGACGTGTTTTGTGAATCCCGGTTCACATGTTATGTTCAACGGATGGTTCTCCATACAGCATTTGCTAATGCATAGTTGCACATCACACACACATCCATAGATCAAATCATCATGGCGAAAATATTTCTCTTCAGGATAAGTTGCGTCTTGAAATTGAATCTTTTTCGTGGTTTTATCCATAGTACCATTAGTAATGTCCAATAAGTAATCATTTTTGCACTTGGTTTTAAAACCCGCGAAACTTTGTCCGTTCACAGTATGCAAATAAGAGAAAATAGTAAAAAATACAAATAGTCCCAGTTTTAACGATACCATCTTGTTGTGAAGGGATATAAACATTATAAACTACACTTGGGAACACTGGATTACTAATGAGATTGCATGAGCTCGCGGTTATTTAGCACTTGGTCGTATTATCACAATGCGCAGAGAATTGACCACACCACAATCGTATTGTCCGCATACATACACATGCGTGTGGTCAAACACTTTCCAACATTACGACTTCCTCTTCGCACGAACACACAACAGCTAAATTTATTTTACACGCTGACCCACTCACTCACTTTGCTTGGAGTGTGGCAAAGCGGCAACTTTTATGGTTTGGTGGTGTTTTTCTAAGGAAGTAATAACATTAACGCGTAAATGCGTGCAAACGTTAACGAGAAGAGCGCAAGTCCAATAAACACAGCGGGTTAACACTCATTACACTAACAGTCTTGTTGATGATCAGGCTAATTTTAACGCACGCTTTTTTCTACAGAAAAACACTTTTTGGATGTGTAGACGTGACGAAAACCAACGCCTCAACGATTTAATTCCACGTATCACACTTGTAATACTCTTATCTAATTTTCCTCTTTTGTACTTCAAACAGCTAACAGACTATTAATGTAGTACCATTGATAAGATTAAATATGTTGCACCTATCCAAAACCACGATGAATGTAGCTTTAATTGCATTTTTATTGATTCACGCACTCGTTAAAACCAAGCTCACGATGCAAATGAGCAAAAATACACTTCACACAAGCATTTAAACGAAGTAATTTGCATGGTAATAAACCGGAGAAAACGCGGCGAAAATTAATTACATTTGGCATGCGCTTAGTTTGGTCTGTGTTTGAAAATTGCAAAACATGTAGATAGTCTCACACACTACCACTCCTAAGTAATAATTATCTGCATTTTCTTATCTATAGTGACTCAAAGAAACCTTTCATAATAAATGAATGTGTCATCTGTAAACGACACTGGGTATACCCTGAGAATGTCTACGAATAAAAAAACCGGCGTAGAATAAATATTTACTCGAATATATAATCTAAGTATATAATTACGTAACTCAGAACCAAGATTTGCAAGTATTGAAGTTGAAACGTGTCGTTCTCGTAACTTATACGACAGCTCAACTATTGATTTGTTTAAATATGAGAATTTTACTTCCACGAAAACGTTCTGTTTTTAATAAATTTATTTTTACCTATTGTATTAGTAAGTCGTGAGGCTGCATCTTCGTCCATCTCCTCTGGAAAACACACAAGCGCAACCCTATGTTGATTTTTATTCCAATCAAAACAAAACGAATGCGTACTGTAATCTTCACCGCCCGTGATTTGAATAGCACCACTACGAAGAATTTGAAAATTATCCTTGGGTTCCTCTAACATATATTTATCACAGTGCACTAAACCATGCTGCACATCACGGAACTGTGTAAACATGTCCGTATATTTTAGAGTCGCATCGTCTCTCACACACTTTTTGCCCCCTTCTAAATAATACCCAAATTTGCAACATTTTCGAATACATAAATATTTACAAGATGGTATACTAATCACAGCACTTAAATTATAATTTTGCGGAATGTCTTCTACTTTATAAACGTTATAATTGGCATTTAGAGGTATTTCACTAGCATGTGCACTTAATACACCGAACGCACTGATTAAGACTATGAACAGGTTTATGGTGAATGTGTGCATCGTAGTTTTGTTTTGTTTATATCGTTATCAGAATAGGTATGTTTCTGTACGACTGGTGTGACATTGCTGCAGTCGGTGAGCGATTGGAACTGAACACAATTTTTCGTTACGATTCGATCATCATTTCAATTACTGGAATTGCAAATATTCAAATGACATGTAAATACGATGGAAACGTATTTTTCACGGCTATAACACAGGCATTGAATAAGTGCACTACCATTAAATGGAATTGTGAGCGGTCGCGTGAATGAATACATGTAACGACTACCTGACTTCAATTGCTATCTAATTTTTTATATTGATAATTTACGTTAGAGATAAAATTTAGGGATAAAATCCACAAATATCTGATAGTCATCGTGAATCAACCGGGTTTCATTCGAGGCTTTGTTATTTGCTCAAGTCCTTATATTCAGGTCCTAGACTATAACTTGCGTTAGGCAACCCAGTGTACACATCAACCATATAAATAGAAATATTTTTGAAGAGTTTATTTCTGTTCACTTTAATTTAGCGAAATAAAACACATATTTGCCTGCTTAAGTTTTAAAGTCTAAAATAATCTTTCAATGTTTATTTAAACATAACCGGTTTTGGCAGTTTTGTAAATTTTGAAATTCCAATAAACCACTTAAAAACTAATACGTTGAAAGGTTGAGTCAAATTAAACTTAAACGCCGCAGAATATAAATATTAATAAAATTAATCATATTTACCATATTTATTTAATTTCCAACTCAACGACAGTTGGAAAGGATCCTGACATGTGATGGCAATCAAAGTGCCATTATTAAGATCCAGACAATAATCTCCTGGTAATATCGCATTGTCGTTATTACCTTTCCAATCCAACCGACCATCTTCCCTAAGAGACAATTGCAAATCTTCATCGAGCATGATTGTATTCTTGTTCTGTGCGCAGTAGAAATCCCATGGTTGATGGAGTTGTAAATGTTTATGGAAAGTTTTTCCCAATGCATCAAATCTCCGCCGCAAAGCATTGTCACCTCTTCCTTCAACACTATCAGCATCATCCGGAACGCACGCTTCATCTGAGGCACTTTCATTTAAACGGCAGCACTTGTTTATTAAAATTATATCCTCCTTTAAACACTGACATTCAAAAACTAATAAAATGAACAGAAACACAATGTAAAAACTTTTAAAGTTCATTTTAGTTAAACTAATTTTTAAACTTAAAACTTGTGTTGAAACATTACTAAGTACTTATTAGTTGAGAAGAAACGTTCGAATGGTGTGTCCTATTGCAGTTCGGTATTCTTGTGGCGCGCGGCGCTTTCGATCGGTCATTTTAATACTACTTGTGCGAGTACTTGTTGCTAAAAACAACGCGTGGATGTATTATCGGCGAACGTTGTGCGTCTACGCTCTTCCTGCAGCTTTGCGCAGGAACACATGTTGCGACGCGTATTGGAATTGACATCAACGAGAGATGGCCTGTAAAAACACTCGCCTGAAAATACAAATATTTAATGACGTCCGCGAGCACCGCTTAAATTATTGCTACAAACAATATCCGATTGCGTGCCGTTTTTTTTTGTGTTTGAATCCTTCAAGGATATTGATACACTAATAAATTAGATAAATTAAATTAAATTTTTAATGGGTAGGGCTGACCTATACATGAACCCAATTTACTAGAAATGTTTATCCAACCCTGCCCAAACAAAGATGAAAAACTACCCACCTACATGTATTCCTATGTTGTATCAGTAATGTTATCCTTGGGCGCTGTTCATCATGAAAAAAACCTGCTATCTCTTCTTGACAAACGAATACATGAACTTTGTGTGTACTACAACCTAATGAAATTTACCCACGCATGTCATCAAAGAATAGAGAGCAACAGGAAAGCAAAATAAATGAGGGTGGATTGCTAGTTGGCTGTTGTGTTTTTTTTTGTGTTGTCTACGCGAATAACACGCTCAATTAATTAGTAAATTACCGTCAGGAGGATATCCTAAACCAGCCACATCCAGAATGATGAACTAATTATTATTACTGCATCAACGTAATTTTCTTTCATTTAATCTCACAACACAATTTACGAATGATTAATTGAATTTAATTAACTCGTATGCACTTAGTATTTAGTATCATGCATGCACATTTTACTGTGTATGATAAAACAAAAGCATATAAGTTAGGTACTCAAATGAGTCTACTTACTATATGATAACAACATTATCGCACGCAGATAGAAACGCAATGAACTTTTATCTGCCTCTTATAAGCATGTGGACTTTAAGTACGATAATCTTGTTCGGGTTGGTTCAGGTACTTAAAACATGCGTATGTTTGAGGTGTTTTTGATTATATTTATAGAATATTACATGCAAGTTAATGTCTACACTTGATGAATTACATATACGTCAAGTTGTCACTACGCTCGAATGCATGTTAAAAGCATTTTCAAATTTACATGCACTTAGAGTGATCATTACGAACCTGTTTGTGTAGTTTGCGATTATAGGTGAAATCCAATGCAATTACCGTTATTAAATCAAAATGAAGAACAGGCGCGTGAATCATGAACACTCTAATTCCCTATAAACGCGGCTGAAATCTAAAAGTTCGTGTTTATCATGCATATCAAATTTACGCATTCATTTTCTCTTCGTTTTATTGACCATCATAACGTGGGTAGTCATTAACGTATTCGTCGGTAAGTTCAGTTCGATTTTTCGGTCTAATAGAGACTAGTTGGTAATTAATTTGATATTTTTACGATATTTACAGTATGTTTTTTAAGATTTTTGTGATTAATAAAATTGGATTTAATTAATTTTAGTCATGATCTGAAAAATGGCCTAAAATTAAAAATATAGTTATAAATATTAATTATTTAAATAAGCAATATTGTCTTACAGTGCATTATAAGTTAATTTTATACTTAAATAGTAGTATTAAGTATTTGTATAACAAATACAATGAAAGTGACAAAATGTTATTCCATGGCTGTAAAAATATAGAATTTACACACTATAAAGAAAAAATAAGTTGTTATAGGTACTACGCGTAAAGTTTACAACGTTTTGTTTTGCTCTCATGTAGCCCACACAATACCTAAAACAAGTTTATTATACTCGTAGTTCACACACACGCCTAAGATGAATTTCCGGTGATTCAACAACTCTATTCACTCATTAAAACGCAAGAATAAGATGCAATAATACTTCATTTTCTCCACCTGTGATGTATGCGTAAAAAAAGAAACGGACAGCCAAGTAACAATCGTTAAGTACCATCGGTTGAATTTAAATTATATGTAAATGTAACATGTGTATAGTGATGAAAAAATGAAGAACTTGGAATCTTAATTAAAAACGCCGACGTGATGCCAAGCTGTAAAAGAAAATAACAGATGCGGTTACAAAATCAAATCTGGAGTACTATTTCTGGTCGATGAATCAATGCAAATGAAACAATTAAATGTGACAAAATAATTTATAGCAGTTGTGCTTTATAGCTCATAAATTGGGTGGAATTTAGAGCGATGGCATTTGTTCGAGTAATAAATATTGCCCTTTATGCATGAAAAAAGCTTGACGTGTTTAAGTTTAAACTCTCGCACACATGTCTCATAATGAAATATGGCAATAAAAACATGTCGCGATTGATAGAAGCTGAGAGATGCGTGAGAAACACTTCAACGGCGTTAAATCTGTGCCAACAACGACCTTTCCAATCAATTTAGATTTTGCATATATAAATCTAATTGAAAAAGTCTGCGAGATACTAAAAATAATTGTACAAAAACTTCGTTTGTATTTTGTTTTCTTTCAAGTAAAGCCAATATTCACACGAGCGTCTACTCACAAAGGAGGGAATTCTGGGTCGTTTTTTATCCGGCTTGCCAAAACATAATTTTCATCACGTGTGCAAGTCGTCGAATTTTGAGCGCTATTGTTTTTGAAATGTTGCAACGCTTTGCTTCAATCGAATAATATTTGTTTGATGTGGTATAAATATCACGATTGCAGACGTGAAAATTTGATGTTGATACTTTGGAAAATCCACATTATTCATTTTTACATGTTTAATTCAAAACGCAATTGAATTTCCATGTAAAATTTACAGTTTCAATAAAATGATGCATTATTTAACAAGTTTTTTAATAGTTTAACTGCAAAGTTCGTGTTAATAGAGAACAAACATATTTTTATGCATCCACTTGAATATATTTGAGAGGTAACGGTTCTGCTGCATGAATAAACAGCATAGTTATTAACTAATATACGCTTCTGGCGATTAAATCAGTTAAATAACTGTACACTAGTAGTGAAGATATTATTTTCACGTCCAAATATTTAAGGATAAAGGAAGTACATATGTAATTAAATTTAGACATTTCAATTCTCATAAAAGGAAACTCAATTACAATCAAATCGATATAAACGTATAAAAAACGTATCAAATAATAATTACATATTAGAAATCTTCATATCAATCAGTTGCAATCAGATCACCCGGAAAAACATTTAATAAATGTGTTCATAATATTTCTTTAAAAAGTGAGTTAGTACTAACCAGATTTATAAATATTATTCACTATATTAACTATGTACAAACTTAAAAATTAGAATAATGCGTATTAGTTTATGTTATCTAGTGTTACACATCAATAAATTTAATTACTTTCGGAGGTATCATAAAAGACATTTCATAGAAACAAACTTTTAAGCGTTTTTTTTGCAAAGTAATTAAATACGATTGCAATCAACCAAACACTCAAACAAATACATACCACCATTACACACATTCCATTTCATGCTATACCTAATAATTAATAAATTTTATTTAAATAATTTAACACAAAGTCCACATATTTTAATTATTTACTTATTGCACAAATTCCCAATAGTTTAGTTTGGTTAGGTGTGTGTGTGTGTAACCTAATTTGTTACCATAAAATTAACATTTTGCACTATAATTTGTTTACATACATTTGGAATTTCTCCATCGAACATCGTAATCGTAAATACGATGATTTGTAATTTATTTAAAAACGGCGCGTAGTTAAATTTTACGACGTCTTCGTGGATTGTTGTTTCGCTAAAGTTTAATGTGGTGTGCAAATTGCAACCCAGCTTTTCAGTTTTATGCTTAGGTTTTTTTAACGACTGCAGTTGCAATTGCATATGGTTGGTGTATTAATAAATCATGCCTGGATGTACGCCGTTGCTGCAATAAAAATACACGTTTGGATTCGTGCTTAATGTTGGCTCCAGTGTTGTGTACATGTTGCCATCGTCCTGCACACCGATAATATCTGTAAAAATAAAAATAGAAGAAATTAAATCATTAGCTTTAACCTCCATTAACTTAATAATTAAAATCTTAGTTCTGTAATAATCATAATACTAGTAAAAAATGTTTGAGGTTATGTCGTTATGTTTTAACCTCACTTAAAAAGTAATCAGAGAAGAATACATAATTTATCGTGTTTAATGCGTTCGGTGCGTGGCCTCAATTGTGCATAATTAATTACGTCCGCCGCTGCGGTGTCCATTAGTTAATAAATAATTCGTCTGGGGTAAACATTGCGATGACGATATCCTAAAACGGAAAAGGTCAAGAGTCATCAAGCAAAATAACCACATGTGCGTCAGCGTCTAATCTTCGGGAGAATAATAAATGACCAACTTGCGTAGAGGAATACTACTTTGTACCTGCATGGTTGATGTACATTGTACAAAGCCTAGTTGAATGTACTTTTGGGTTGGGTTCGTTTCCGTGTACTCTGCATCAAGGTTGGGCCGTGTCGTGATCGTGATCAACTCGGGCAGAAGCATGAAACATTGACAAAAGCGTGAACAAACTAAATGAACCAAATATAATTCATATTCTGCTTTGTAATGGAATGAAATTTTGAAATCAAAATTTTTATAACCAACAATCACGACCTTCGAGTGTTAGGCACGCTTATTTTCGTATTAGTGTAATTTGAGTTGCCTACTGTTTTCGATTTTTGTAGACTATTATGTTGGTTTTAATATTTGCATATTTGCGTGTTTGATTTCTCAGTTACTGATTATTTAAATTTAAATTTAAAACGAAACTGCTATTTGTTATTGCAAGTAGAAATACTTGGAACAAAGTTATTTTTGAGCATATTAAGTGCTTCTCAAAATGTTTACTACCATCTAGAATGAAACTTTGCACAATGTGAATAGATTGCACTAGAAGAATAGGAAATCAAATAAAACCCACGTGTATTTTCAATTTTTCACGCACGTTAGTAATGTGAGAACCTAGCGCACTGGTGTTAATTTTATCGTGCTTTTTTACGACGCCTTTTCGTTTTCTTTTGTTTCAAAAATTAATTTTAACTGGTTCAATAAACTCGTAAAAAATATACCGAAATGAAATATAAATATTTCTTTAAAATTTTACATTAACCATAACAATAACTAACATTAATGCAGGCTTAATTTAGCAAAACCGACTTCCTTGTGGTTTACTTTTTACTTTTTCTTTTCATTGTCATTTCGGATTTATTGAGGTCTTAATGGTAAAAATTAAAGGACAATGTCACTTTCATCTGACGCTGAACTCGTTACTTACTCATCTCGTTACTCCTTACTACTCGTTTATGGTTTATATGAGTCGGATGTAGAAGAAGCGCTTTCGCGCCAGATGTCCCGTCTCACAATCGCTGCGGCAAGTTCGTTTATTTTGTTTTGTACATTTCAATTTATTTATACGCGTGCGCACAACCGTATACGCGCGGCGTCTACGTGACAGCGTAAATAAAGAAATGTTATCGAACATGGTGAATTTATGTGCAATTTTCTACCGAGTTCATGCAGATAATTCACATTTTAATTGCGACACACTTTGCATACGAGGACACGTCAACAAAAAGTAGAAACTGCAAGGTAAATCAAAATAATTTTCGCGTAAATCATGTTTAATCAGTTTTTTTTTCCTAATGCAAAAACGAACATTACGACTTGTGAAATTGTTTATAATTAACTATAAAACTTTTTGTTTATGTTACAAAAATCGCACATGAGAACAAACACTTCATAGAATTTATCGTCATAAATTTCAAATCAGTTTTTCTTTTATTTGCAATATTAATTAACTTAACGATGTGTATTTCACGTTTAAAATTAATTAACCTTATCAAAACTTGACTATACTCATTTCAGACAAATATCTCTTATATAAATCTGTTTTTTTTTATATATAAAAAAAAGAAGTAATAAAACAAATGAAAGCAAGTATAAATTGCAATTCCAGTTGGAAATACTCGGCAAGAATAAGAAAAAAAACGGAAAACGTTTTCAAAGTGTAACAATAGCAGCAATGCTGCTCTACAAGTGTGTCAATTAGCGTAACTGATTGACCGCCGACCGTCTATCATCCTTTCGTCGAGAATTACTTCCTCTGGTCTCGACGCGCCGCGGCGAGTTGGCCCCGCAAAAGGAACCACTACGTATCTGTATCACACAGAAAATTATATGATGCCAATGGCCGGTCAGCCTAACCACCGTTACCGAAGGCGGTTTACGCGTCGAGCGCATTCTTTGAATAAACATATAATCGACGCGGGCATTTTTCGCCGCTTTGCCGAAAACAACAGGACTCAACCCGTATTAATATGCGCGCAGCAAGATCACAGCTAATAATCATCGTTAACATGTTGGCAAGCATTATGATTACATGGTGCAAGTGCTGTAAACCATCGTAAATATGCCCCGGAGTAAATGGTGCATTATTTTACATATTCAAATGTTCAAATGGCCAAATCGGAGCGTGTAACAAGCGGTTACCGTACTCGTAATTGTTAAATATTGTTGTTTGGATGTAAATCTGAACAAAACCAAGGTTTTAAGTGTTTTACACGATGCTACAAGATATGCAAATATTTTACTATATGTAAAACAAAAGTTAGGCCAAAATTTGCAAATACGCTAAATTTTGATTTGGATCACTCTATTGAATTAGTCTATGTTTTTGTGTCCCTGTGGCTTTATATACTAAGATTATTAAACAAATATTTATTGTAGGTACTTTGTATTTTTCATTTCAAACATCGGTAAGCCTGAAGAAGCTCGGGGAAAGCGTGAGAGAAAAGAGAAAATCCTTTGCCTCGGCGTAAACATAGCGAAGTGCGCAATGGAACGCGACGCCCTGCTATAATATCGAGCACCTACTTTATACGCAGAATCTAATCAAAGTCACTTTTCACTTGCACTTCGCCAACGAAATATTGTCAAGCAGGTCAAAGAAACCAGAAAGAAATTTAATTTCAACCATTTTCAAAAAAGAAACTCCAGTAAATTACCTCCTGATATATCCACTATGATTAATAATAAATAATCAAGTAGATGGAAACCGGACAGCGTATAATTGATGCGATTTATCGTAATTTAATATCAGAGTCTAATGAGTCGTAATTAATCGTTTAGTGTTACAAGTAAACTTTCAATAAAAATGCAACTTAAATTAAACAGGAAATTTTGCATCCTCTATCACTTCCTCAATGCATTAGAATTTTATTTTGCAGGAAATTGAAACCACTGATGACCAATTAACCAACTAACCTTCAGTATTATTCGTCCTTGAATGACTCGATGGTTTCTGATAAATACAATCCCGATGTCCACCATATCCGTAATCCCCTGGTTGATAATGAAAAAACGAAGGCGAGTATCTGCTTCCCGTCCGACTAATCGAACTAAACTGATCATCACGATCCTCCTTGTACACCCCGTTACTGCCGAGCGCAATCAGTCTTCGACCTTTCGACAGGAACATCACACAGAATATAATACTACTCGACACTAGCAATCCCAGCGCCAGACACGCATCCTTGTGGCGTTCGTTGACGAGAAACCCGCTCAGGATCCACACGAACCAGGTGGGCACCGAACACCCAACCGACAGCCCAATATAGGTCGACTCGCGATAATTGTTCCGCACGTGGCGCGCCTTGATCGACAGCACGCTCACGAAAAGTATCAAAAAGACAACGTAGATCAACGAGAAGAGCACGTCCACGTAGGTGCTCTGACACCGTTTCGAAACGATGGGCTTCTCGAGGTCCTTAGCGGTGAAGAGCAGGTGATGCTTGCGCTCAGTCACGTAGCGTTCGTAAATCACACTCTCGACGCCGGGCGGATACGTTATGAGCCACTGCACATTGATTGCCACCTGGATCAGTATACTGAACGCCAGCAGCAGGGCTTGGTATGCAGCTGGGAGGTAGACCCCGGTGTGGAGACTTATCAGAAACACGCACTTGACTAGCAACGCGGCGAAAATTAACGTATAAGATATTCCTATCCCAAATCTTGTCAATGCACACGTCAAGGGGGTAGGTACCATGGTCAGAATGATGCTTACAGTTGCACATAGAAACAACCCCAGGAGTAATATTTGTCCAAGGAAAATATTACGATGACTTGAGCTTAGTTTGTACGCTTTACATATGATGAAAATCTCGAAGAATGTAATCGAAACCATAACAATTCCGGAGAAGATAATAACGGGTAAAACCCATACTTCTGTACGTAGTAAACCACAGTCTTGACATACTGTAGCGGTGACAATCGGGGGTGTGCCGGATGCGGTAGATGATGTTGGTATTTGATTCGGTCGTAATAACGTCTTATTCGGCACGAGAAAGTACTCGGTTGACATTTCCACTCGACGGAGTGACATCTCGTCAAAGTCTACTTGCTTCATCTTTATAATGTCGATTGGGACGCTTGTTCTTACGAGCACATTATTTGCTTGGGTAATTTCACGACTTTTGCACAAGTGTTCAGCTGGCACTCCATGATTTGGTGTTTTTGACACAGTAGCACGAGTGTTGGTAACTAAGCGCTGCCGAAGATGTGGAGGACGCGACGCGGCAGCGCAAACTCAATCCCAACTGGTTTGGTATGGTTTGGTTTGGTTGTTAGTGTAGTTAGTAGTAGCTACCTCTACTACTTCTCCTTCTGCTAGTTCTTCAGTGCGCGGAAGATTTTTATTGCTTACGTTTTGCAGAAACGTATACTCGCACTCGAGCAGGAACGACTACGCTCGAAGAGCTCGAGGCGTCGTTAGCTAGCTCACGCAGCGAGCAAACCTCAAGCGTTTGGACGACTTTGACTTTGACTGAATTTTAACGCATGCAAGTTATAGTCGCTGGAGATGGAGTTCGAGTGGTTCGAGTTATTCGCGTCGCGCTTCGTTTGATTGCTGGTTACCGGGGCAGAAGAGCCAGCGTGTGGAGGGCAATGAAATGTATACCACACGTAACTACCGCGTGTTCACATTTTGCTATATTCATTACTTATTGTTTTTTCATACATAATAAAAACACTTTTTATAAATAAACGTTTAAAAATAATTTAATTTTAAAATCGACCATTTTTAATACTACGAATATATCTGCGTACTCAATCAATTATGTTATGTATTCAGGAATTTAAAAAAAGCAACGGTATTTAATTCACACTGTTGCGACTCGTTTAATAATCCCATGTAGAGTTAAAGAGACTTTAAACTGTAACATTGTTGCTTTTATAACTGTCCAGGAGTGAGTAGGAGTAGTCGCCCGTCGTAAACATGTGTGTTTAAGAATTACGAAGATGAGGTAACTATAAAAGTAAGCAAGCTCACTTGAGTAAAACACACAGCAAGTGGCTCGTGAGACAGAAGCGCCATTTTTAATAGATGGTGAAAGAAAAAGATAGCAATCATTGTGATTACACATGATGGTTGCTAATTTGATGCGATTTAGTTTATAATTTTGGGTATTTTGACGTGGAGAACACGGATACTGTTGAAAACTGTAAACCCAGCTCAAATTACACCGTCGAGTATCAATTATCATCGCTCAATTTAATCCAGTAACCATTTTAACATTAATAATTGCAATAAGCAGGACAATGTTAAAAATTTACGATCAATGACTTTTAATTATACAAGAAATAATAATTCTAAATTTATCTTACTAAAAAAGTTTTTTATATTAATTTAAAAAACAACATTCCCGTTTTTGTCGTCCAAAAAATAAAACTAAACATTGAAATTTGGTGAAATAGTTTATCAGTCTATAACCTAATGCAGTATTTATTTTTGACGCTGCTGTGGTACTAAACCCGTCCATAACTATAAATTTTATAGATATGAAAATAATCCCGTCATTATTTGCAAAATTCAAAAAAACTTTTTCAATAAATATAAAAGCTATAACTTCCTTATGATTAAATCAATGTAAGCTTTCCCGGTTCCAATTGAGAATTTGCAAACTTCCTTACAAGTTGAAGGAAACCCGGAAAGCACAGGTGCACACGTGCAGCTGAGGTAATATGAGCGCGACCAAACTTCCGTTTAGAGCACGCGCTAACGACGCACAAATTGCCCTCGGGGAGCACGATTTTACGAGAGGCTTTGAGGGAAAGCAAATCAGGAAGCTCGCGAACTCCACTCCACTCGTAAATGGTCCCAGAAAAGCCAGCACGTCTTGTTAATGACCCGCCCCGACAGTCGACACGCATTATTAAGTTAGAAATTTAATTCGTAAATTTGCAAAATTCTATTTGCGCAAAAAAAAAACTGTTAAACGTTCCAAACAAATTAATAAACTTTTAATTAATGTAGTGCGTTAATTAAGTGGTGTTGTATGGTACATTTTAATTAATGATATACATTAATCTTTGCGTTAATTAATTAATAACATGCGTGTTTGATGTTAATTTTATTCAAGTATGGAGATGTACGTAGTTAACTTGAATTACAATGCTGCATAGTTGGTTGCCTACGTTAACACTCCACAGGCATAAATAAAACGTGTTTTTAGCTAAAGTCGAATGTTTTAACAAATGCATACAAAAAGTAATGAATGTCTTGTAGCACGAGGCAATAACAACTAACAACATATTTGTTATGTATTATATTATTACATTATGCATTATATTCAGTATACGACGCAGTAGCAAAACAGTTATGAAACAGTTATGCAGGAACATTATGCATCAAATGCTAATATAATCAAATCATGCTGATTAGATGCAATGATTCAAGTTTTAAATCGATCACACTAGGCGCAGGTATTGACATGGCACACACGATCTAGATAAATCGCTTCATTTATGCGATAAACAACGAAAGAATGCATTGAGAATGTGATCACCGCTATATTTATCACGTGTCAAAACAATACCAATTGCAGTATCAATAGCAATCAACAATATCAAGTTCAATGAATAGCTGTACATAATTGTATCTTAACTAGGCTAGTTTAAAACAAAAACAAGAAAAAGCAAGAATATTTGACGGATTAATTTCAAATTTAACGAAGAATAATTACGTAGATGTTTGTTTATGCAATAATCAGTCATAAACGTGGCATAAATGTGTCACAAGTAAAGTAAGCATGTAACAAATGCAGATTTAGTTTAATTGAATCGTAAATTGTATAATACTACAACCAGAAATATTAAATATGAACCATGTAGATATGGTTCAAGTTTTTTTTGCAGATTTCCGATGACATAATAATAAATTAAGTCAACAGAATTTAATTAACGCGACTTTTTTAATTGCTGCGAATTATGAGCTTTAGTTGTTAAATCTTTATGAACATTACAAGCCTCAGAAGTTTTACGACTTTTAGCAAATGCAAAAAAGTTTTTTTTAGAAAAGTTAAGTTTTAAAATCAACTAAATTAGTCCTATTCATGAAGAACAACGCCCTAAAAATTATAAAATTTACAAAAATATCTAATTTTGCGTACTTATATTGAAAATAATTTAAAAAAAATAGAAAAAAATTCTTTTTAACGTTGCTAAATAAAAAAAAACAATATCAATCCAAAATACACGAACCACTTGAAGGCACTCACTTTCGGTAGGTTTGGCATGATTAAATTTTTTTTATTTTACGCACAATATCCTATTTCGATTATGTTTATACTGTGCTCCACCCTGAAAACCGTTTACAATCCATTCTCCTTTAAAAGTTAAGTTATTAAAATGCGCAGTTATCAAAGTCCCCGGAATTCGAAGAAGGAGTGGCTTGTGCCTCGAATACCAGCGTTTTGCTACTCGACTTATATCACTACTATGCATGTCAAACATTAACAATAATTGCAAAATTGGTAAAACATTAACTAATTAATGCGCATACCTTTACGATTATTCAAAATTGTTTAAAATTGTCTACCAATTAAAAAATTCTTTCAAAGCGCGTGCCATTTGCTTTTAATCTTAATTATTCAATATAAATTCTGATTTTGAACAAAAAATAAAATCTTGAACTTTAAATTTTATTTATATTAATTAATTTATTAATTAAAATTAATTCCAATTAAATCCCAATCGGAAGAGTTTACAATTTACACTCGTTTACACACCGATCGGGTGTAAAATCAATAAGAAAAACGAGAAAGTTAAAATGCTAATTGTCGATTATTCAATTTCCTCATACTCTTAGCGAAAAGTTTAACGCCACTTTTCTCGGCGAGCGATTAAATGTCCGCTTTCCACAACTCCAATTACTGTGACTCAATCCGGCGTGTAATAATTAAGCAATGCAATAATGCACTAATTGAATAATGGAATTTCCTCTATTCCCTGACAGTTGCAGCCAACTCGAATCGTTTCTTTGCAGTAAGAGACCTGCAGACCTGTTGACGTTTGAACTAATCGCTGTATGATTAAAAGCAGTTTCTGCCCAGAGCACACAAGGCAATAATTGGAAAATAATGTTGATGGATGAAAATTGGAGCAAACCAAATCATCATAAATTATGAGTGAAATTGTTGATATGAAATATTCAGGCGTCAATTACTTATGTAGATGAATACTTTCATTTTATTTTCAAAATAAATGTATGTAATGTAAATATTCACATAAATTCAAAATTTGAAATAAAATATTTAAAAAATCGTTAATATTTCTTGTTAATTATAATTTATGAATGAATGAAAATTTTGTCCGCTTGCATATTTATACATAACGATATTTTTTAATGATTTTTTTTTGAAGTGATAAAAATGATTAGGTATTAATTATTTTTAATCTTGACGAAAAATCTTTTTGGCATTCTAAATTCCTTCCTATTAATCTTAAGCAGACATCTTAAATCACTTACTTAATTTGAAGTTTTTCATCAATTCTCAAAATAAACAACACTCGCGGCATCATTAAATAACAATTATCATTTACGCAGACACTACCGATAATCACCGCAGCACAATTAATTTTTTATTACAACTACAATTGTGTTTCTTGTATTGTTATATGTTTTTCTTTGTGGCTTCGAAATTTGGGAATACACACAGCGAATTTTATTTTAGGAAAGCGGACGGATCGATGTATCTCGGCGCGCCATCAATGCGCGTCACAAGGCGGCAAGATTCATTGAAATGCGAAATCGTAAATGAAAGTTGGTGAATAATATATCGTATGTAGGTATTCATTCACTTTCCATCTCATATAACTTTGTTTTTATTACTGAAACTGTTGATATGCGAAGTGCATTATTGTAAAATATTTATTTATTTACTAGTCGCGGGGAATTTCATATCCGTTCAACAAAATATGTTGTCTTTAATTAATTATTCATGGAATTTTCGAAGAAAATATAAAAATTAGGTCAAGCAATTTAAGAAACCGAGAAAACGCATCGTTTTTATTTTTTGTGATAAATGTTTAAAAGAAAATTAATATTATACATTAAAAAACTTGAAAACTTGTATAGAAACAAACGATTATAACACATTTTCACATATTTTTATTATAAAATGTGTATTGCCCAAAGTTCTGGCCATTTGAATATTAAAATCGCGTAGGAAACGTTAATTTTGAAAATTTTATATCGCGTAAACGGCTAAAATTAAAAAAATAATAATGAATAGTAAATTGATTTGCCATGTATTACCCCAAAAGGTATGCAAATTTCAGTACCAATAACATACTTTTAATTATGCTACATTAACTAGTACCAAAAACAAATTTTACTGGCTTAATATTGCCAATGATTTGCAAAATTTTCATATGATATTAAAATTACCGGCAAAATTACAGTTTTATTGATAATATCTATCGATATTGCATACACAATCAAAAAATACCGCAATACAAAAAAATGATTCATAAATTACATATTATAACCAAGTATTATAATTTAATTAACTTTATTCTAAGTAATGTGACTCAAATGAATGCATATTTCACTAAAAACCCCACTAAACTCATAAAACGCAAATTTCTCAAACGACTATTATTATTAATAACATAAAACCGGCGTGTTACATGTAACATGTTCACCAGTATGTACCTCCTTCCTCACCTATCCACGAGTTGTTGGTGTGTTCGTGCACGTCTTGCACGTCTTGCATATTACACACGACTGTCGCATGCAGAGTCGCATGTGTCGTCAGTAAGCGGCAGGACGTGTTCCAATCATTACTCGCACATTTGTAAATATTGCACCGTACAATACCAGCATTACACGCAATTAAACGCCGATCAAAGACATAACACACATAATACCGCGAGACGCGCAACAATAAAGCATCACTTGTCTGACGGACGCGCAAGAAGTGGAAAGCCGCTTGCGAGTGGAATAATAGTACGCGCGCGAGCTTCGAATTGAAATTGAAATTTTCGGCTTGTGGTTTGTCCACACCGCGTTAGTTGGAAGTTAGTTGTCCGGTAGACAAGTCGGTTTGTACCGTCGGGTTTATTTATATATTAACAACGTATATATATATATTAAAAAATATATAGAAGAATAAAACTTCAGTGATTTTTATCTTTATCGACTTATATCCGCACCAAAATGAAGAGTAAAATATATTTTGGATTTTCGATTCTTGTGTTAGCAGTGGTTTCCACTCAGTCTTTGATACCAAAGAATAATTTACATGGTAAGTACGAAATAAATTAATATTTTAGATTAATCTAACCAAAAGTTTCTCTGTTTTGTACGCATACAATATACAAGTATGGAAGTCAAACATGCTAAAAAAGAAAACTCATTAAATTCTCGTTCATATTACACCGTAAATAAATATTAACCAAATATCCCAAAATGTGAATAAAACTTTTTATTTGAACAGTTAAATGTGTTTGCGTAATTTATATGCATATTATCTAAGTGCACTTAAAATATTTAAGTCCTTATTGAATTTTTGCCCATATAGGTGGCACCACAAACTAAAAATAACTTTAAATCATTTTTTTGTTCATAACTCTCCCGTAATTACATTAAAATAAGTTGTAATTTACTTTTTAGGTAAATTATAACATTTTCAACACGTGCCTAAGTTTAATTTCATAGAATGACAGCGACAGGACTTTCCTATTCGATTTTATTACTATACTTATGCTGATATATTCCTGTGAGAGCCTCGCGGGCACGCTGTGAAACTCGGAAATGCTCGCGCACATTCTTGAAAATAAAATGAAAATTATACGTGTGTGGAAACAAAAATAAAAACTCTCGTTTTTGGCTTCGCGTCGCTCTCGTTCTCGGATCTGGATGACGATCGCGCATAAATGGCTCGGACATTCTCGCAACTTTCTTCAATATACATACACTTAGTTTAAATCTTTTTGTCGCTCGGCTTTTTATAACAACATAATATATTCTTGAACATTGTCTTGAAACTCATTAGATTTAATCTCGTTTGTGAAATCTGGATTTAAGTGTTATTTTCATGCCTAGGTGGATAAAATGTCCCTAATTGATTGATGATATTTTATGTGTGCTCAATATTCAATGCCTAAACTTCAGTTTTTTCTTTCTTATTTATTACATCACTAGTTCAATGCCAAGTTGCTATAACGTTTCAAGTTCTTATTACTAAATTGAACACAATTTGAAAACGTTTAGACCTCCAATTAACTTATCCGTGCATTCCTTGATATTAATTACTTCGCTTAAAATTACGTTAATTTTGTTATTTATTGAATTATGCTTGTATTTCTGTAAATTCTATGTAATACGGATTACGCCCAAGGATTTTTTAATCGTGATTTAATTGACCTGTTAGCTAAAACAACAAATTTACATAAATTAATAACTAACGAACAAGAATTCCCAGTTGGGTTGATTGTTTCCATAAAAAAATCTGTTTGTTTTGTAAATATTTAATTAATAATGACAAAAATGTCGACACAATTAAACATTCATGCTCAATGAGGGATATTTTTGCAAGTCTCATTTTCTATAGATATTCGTGCCATTGTGCCATGGGTGCAATAAAATTAGCATTTCGCATCTTTAGATTTTCTCGTTGGCACGCGGATTAATTAAAACTCGCAAAGTCACCGATGTTTTGTAATAACGAGTTTATATACATACCTAGAATTTACAAGTTACGCACAAAGCCGGCGAAGAATCGCATTGCCGAAGATGAACACAGGTTAAAGACGTTGGAGTAGGTTAAGGTTTCCTCGCGTGCATTTTCTCAGCGTGGCTCAAGAGGTGCTCTTTGATATTAAGTCGTTAGCTAAGTAGGTACGGACTTTAGCTGAGTATTAATTTATGGTGCGAATGAAAAACTCGCGATTTTGAATGGCGTAGATAGGTTGAACCGCATTGGGAAATTCGAGAGCATGATGTAATCGAAATCGAAGAAAACACCTTATAATTTTAATTAGTTTCGAGTACCAATAAAGTTGTAGCAATAAATTTTAAGAAATGAAAATTTATAACGCACTAAAATTTGAATACAATTGTGTAAACATTTTATTGTCAATAATTTCAATCGAAGTGTTTTATCATTTGTGGTGCAATAATCTCATCTAAAATACAGATGAATTAAAAATCTGCTTTAAATAAAACCTGTAATTAATTAACAAATAAAACGATTGAATATTTAACAGTAGATTACAAAAGTTTGAAAATATAAATTTGGTTAAACTTATCACAATTATGTTATAAATTAACCAACACCTGTTGTTTGTAAGCACAGGTTGAAACATAAAAATCAATAAAACTACGTAACCTACTTGACCTATTCCAACACATACTTGCAAGAGTTGTAAGACTACATAGCAATAGCATTAGCAATGTCTGCGTCTGAATGCCAAAAATTTGAAATTCCATTTTGTTGCTTCGTGGGTATGTTAACAGCGAAATAAATATTTTAGTTTACCATATTTTTATATGGAAGTGACTGTTTTTATTACACCAACTACAATTGCATTAATTTTATTGTTACCGTTCAGTAAAATATGTTTTAATAATAAACAATTTATATTCGAGTTATTTCAATTGTTTACACACAAATAAAATAAATAAAATTTAAAAACTTTAGCAAATAAAATGTCGATCGCGTTTCTTGAACTGATTTTATTTTAATTCTTAGACTTCACCTTGAAATTATTACTTCTTCTTGGTGTTGATGACTCGTGTTTTAATTTTTTTATTGGACTATATAAAAAGTCTATCAACCAAACCCCCTTGTTCTGTTTTGTTGAATTAAATTTAACTATGAAACTTGTTTTTGTAGGTGGATTTTGTTAATGATTGATTTTGATCAAATCTAAGATCAATTCAAGGTTAACATATGATATGTTATAACATAATAGCTAAGCCCACAAATGTTGTTCTGCAATTAAGAATATAAAATTTTAGATCACAACATAGTTAAATGTAATATTGGTTGCCTACTTCAACGTCAAAACTAAAAGCCAATGTTTGGAGATGTGCAATCGAACATAGGATGACATAATAATTCAATATACTTTCTATATTTAAAATTACTGGTACTAAAATACTTTATACCATTAGCACTGGTAGTAAACATGATTAAAAATGAATCCAGCACTTTTTCGAAAACATTATGCTTCACTAATAAATTCATCAAGTCAAGGAGTTCGAACGTCGGTTCGAGTAAGAGTTGCCCGCGAGTTTGCGAAACTTCCTGCTACAGTCGCCCTCATTTGCCCTACTCTACCTTTTACCTTCCAATATACCTTTACCAGAGAATGCAGGCAGGCGGGTGGGCATCTCTCGAGTACTTAAAACGCAAAAACGAAAAACAAGCCGGCAAAACTTTAAGTGGTCACATCCATAGTAATGTTACTCCACGAAGTACTTGGTAAACTTCTCTCTTGAACGATTCATATCGAAATCGAAAGGAAGAATGTACTTTACGTTACTTTACACTTACACTATACGCACAGTCGTGCATTGCAAATATTGCTTCATTTATGTTTATTTACAATTGATACACACAATGATACAATTTTACGATTTCGTGTTTCCCAACCTGCAGAGTCCGAACTTCATTTGCGGTCGTTATTGTATAATATCAACGTCGCGTGATTATTGCAGAACTTCTTGATTTTGCGTAATCTACGTCAATTGAGTGTCATTCCATAAGCGCATAAATAAATTCAAGTTTCACGTTCACGATTCGGAGCGTTCAATCAACGCGTTTCACTAAAATTCTTAATTTTGATCTAATTAACCCACTAAATTAGATTATATAACATCTATAATATTAATCTCACTTTATTCGGTAAAAACACATCATTTATTAGTACTAGGACGATCCCAGTCACATAAATCATCAAAAACTATAAATAACAATAAATAATAATTAGCAATAGTCAGAAAGAAGTTTTGACCTTGTATCTTGATCTTCGCATTTTTTTACATCTTTAAACATTCAATATTCAATGTCTAACTACGAAATAAACCTTAAATAATTTGTTTGACTTGGTAAATAATGATCAAACAGAATGTGGTTTAATTAATTACAAGTTTATCAGCACGTAAACATCTCGGTGGTGACTCGGTGCGACTGCACGAGAAGAATTAATTCATGGGTCAACTATGCGCCGCAGTTAAACTTGCTGTTGGCAGTCAACAAGTCGCACAATTAATTAAATTAACGATCCCTTCACTTTTCTTTTTGTTTACGTGCTGCTCGGCGCAATGCGTCTAGTACCGAGTGATTTGGTTCAAGTGCGAAAATTTCTAAGCACATGATAATATTTTCAATATAAATTTTAGCAGTTGCGGTAATTTATTGATGAATTTGTGCGGTAAATTTGTTTTTATTTTTTAGCGTTGTTGAGCTTAGCCTTAACCCAGAATCTTTTAATGTTGCACAATGCGAAACATTAGCCAAAGCACATCACACCTAACCATTCGAATTTAATGGATTACGGCCGAGGTATCGAGAGTTAATTGTGCGTTTATGGAATACTGGAAAACGTAACAAGAACGTGCCCATCAAATAAAATGCTCAATGCACGAATTACGACTGTTATTTACAGCTAAACTGATTTAAACACGCAATTTAAAAATTTATTATTCTACATTTTAAATTTTTTTATTTCATGCATTTTCTTTTAATTTTGTCGCAACTTCTATGAAGAAATTTTTTAAAATACGGTACAAAAACTCAGCCTCATTCTACATTTACAACGTAATGACAAATATTATCAAAACCATCCCTTCATTTGTAAACTGTGTTGAATGAGCCATAAAAATTATAAAAGGGTCGCTGCGCAAAAATGATGTATGTTTTTGTAATCATATGTATAATACCAGCAGCAGTATCATTCACGGCATCATTGCAAATTGCTCCAGCTCCAAACATGACGTAAAAGCATTGACGCCGACGTACTGACAGCACATATTGATATTCCGGAATGTCGGATGTTGCGCGCCGCGCATACACTTACACAAAAAGCTTTTTTGCAATTCGGCGGCGTGCATATGCGAGAGGCACGCGGGGCGGCTGTGCGGGCGATTGATGGTGAACGATGCGTGAAGCTAACGAAGGCAGATGATAATTTTAAAATCAAACAAGATTGATCGCGCGGCGCGCCTCGTAAATGCGTCGCGACGTTTTATTATTGATTATTCCGACGCGTGATTATTTTTTAACATTGAAATATTTCCTTCTAAAGACAAAAAGCTTGCTTTGTTTCTAAATATTATAATGTTTAGTTTTGTATGATAATTATATCTGTTAATGACACTAAAATATTTGCCAATATTTGTATAATGTATGTAAACGGTAATTAATTATGTACGCTTCATTTGTTCGCAATTATGCCAAACCGGTGCGTGAATTAATGACGGGTTTCGTTATTTTGCAATTGCATATTTAAAATACATCCATCTGGCTTGCATTGATTTGATTTTTAACTGTGCTGTGTATTGTCACGGCGAAATATCGAAAAATGCGCGTTGTGTTGTTTCGTCAACGTCAACTCGTCAATTAAATAGCAATTTATTTCGTTTTGATGATTTCCACTAATTTTTACTGACATAACTCATATCTATATTTATCGGTATGTGTATATGGATAAAATAGTCATGAAATATTTAAATTGGATTAATTGAACCCCTAGTTACGAGATAGTTTGGCAAAAAATGGGAAATCAAAATAAAGTGATATTGTTAACTTTTAATTGAATTCAACTATTGTATATAATATTTCATAACATGTCATCGCATAAATTGAATTCCGCGCAAATGAATTTTCATTTCGACGAAAATTTATTAAAATCAGCACTAATAATTTATTTATATTGTTTATTTTTATGGCAAAGCATAAAAATATTATTTTATTGTCCACAATTGGATAAAAATTATTTTATTTGAAAGAACATAAACTTTTCATTTTATTTTATTGCTTAGCTATTAAAGAAATGTTTCAATGAGGAGCTTTTACTAATAAGCTAATAATAAAGATGGACCAGTTTTCATTGAACTTTTAAAACGATTTTAAACAAGCTGAAGATGAGACATAAGTCTACTCGTTATTTAATATTGATTCCCATGTTTATTTTTAGTACCAGCAAGACTCTTATATAAACATATAATTACTATTCAAAGAATCAATACTTTTTTATCCATAGCCAATTTTTTTAATTCCCAGCCATTAAATCGTTAAATATGAAACGCAAGAGTCAAGATTCTTCTGGTTTTGTAAAAAGTGGAATCCAATGTTGAAATCATTCGCAAAGAATCCAGACCTACTAAGTAAGACGATAACTCGACGACCTTGCGAAATAGAAGAATTAGAATTACATAAAAAAGAAGCGCGGCAAACAAACATCGCCTTTTGTCGTGAATTTGCATTTTGAGATTAACACATTTTTTAAGAAAAATATTAACATATCTGCATTACCAATGCATTATTTGACATATGATCATACATGAAACATGATTAATATGACATATTCAAACAAAATCTTCACATACTCGTAGTTTTGGTAAAGAGTAAATTTCAAACAAACGAAGGAAAAAAATGCGTGGGTTGCGTACAGAATTTCATTAATCAATTGAATGAAAAAGATTATGATGCAAAGTAAGCGGTAATTGTTGTGTTAACATTTGACTGATATTTATTCTGATGCCATTCAGAGTAATTTAAATGTTTGGATGCCATTTTCGTATTATTGTGATGCCCTACAGCTGAGTTGATTCTGAGTAATAAATATTTCAGAAATAAATTTATCATAATAACGGCGATTTATTAAAGTTGTGCAAATGTAATCATTATTACCTTTCACAGTAGTGATGATTGTTGACAAGGTTTATTACACTACAAAGCAACATGAAGGTAGCAGGTTTACCTAGCAACCAATTTGTTACCTGGCAACGTTTGATACTATGAGTAGTTTGATGCAACACTCGAAACGAAGAAAATTAATATCGTAAAAACAAATTAAATTTAAAAAAATCAATGTTTCAGTCTATCTAGTGCCTATGTTATGAAAAAAATAATTCTATTGTAAATCTATTTTCAATCAAATTAGCATTTCTAGGACGATATTAAAAACCATTTGCAAACATATAGTGTCAAAGAGAAATTAATTCCACATCAAAACGACATTAAAAGCATTAAACTGTTTCATTGTTTTGCAAATGCAAAGCAATAAAACATTTATAGTGTATTGCTAATGTCACATCAAAATGCACTCTTAACGCATTTTCGCAATTTAAATGATAGAAAGCTAAATATTTATTTAATAAGGTAATTTCTCGCTTGTTGTATCAACAAAACCTTACAAAATACCTCATTTACAGCCGAAATTAGTAACGGATGTAAATCACAATAGTGCGATGCCTCCGCCGCATGCATATTCTCATCTATTCGCATCTCGCACACATCGCACATCGCGTCCGAGATCGTTCGGGCATGAAGAAGAAGAACCACTTTCTCCGGCGGTTGCATTGCCAAGTCTGCATACATAACGAGCGCGAGGCGGCGCGGCGACAAGGTCGCCTCTTTTGATTCTTTCGCGTTCTTAACAATCCGCAAGAGCCAACCGCAGCCGCAGCCGCAGCCGACCATCACATATATCGATGCGTGATCGAAATCGACGCTATGCGGACAGTCGCGGATAGATCTCGTTCGCGCGCGCGCTCTTTATACTTAATTATGTGCGTTCAAACGTAGAATAACACTTTACGCTATTGATTGTTGGTATTAAATTTACACCTGTTGTAACAACCTGCAATTGTTTCGGTTGCAATCGAGTGTTTTTTAAGTGTTTGGATTTGATAACTGAGCAAAATGTGGAATATTCGATCAGTTTTTACGTTGTTTTTGGTGTTAATTTCTACTACGACTTCTTTTACTAACCTTAAAACTAGAGGTAAAAAATAAATTATCATTTTTATTTGTTTTAATAATTTTTTCTAAATCTTTACAGATTGTCCAAATTGTGTAGACGACACTAAAGAACTTCCCACGAATAGATGGACAATGCCACTGTTGAAATATGGCGAAAAACGATATTATCTAGGAATATTTTTTAAGGTTATTATTTCTTAAATTAAAAAAATCATTTTTGAAAATTTAAATTAATTAAAAATGATTTTTCAGGCGAATTACTTTAGAGCAACACAATACTGTCGTTTCCACGGCATGCATTTGGCCAGTATAAACTCACAAGAAGAAAACGATCGTTTGGAAAAGTACATCAAAGATTTCGGTGAGTAAAATCTCAAAATCTTCACTAATCACACCCAAAGCGATGAAAAAACGTGTAGCTTAGATGAAACAAGTTTTGGTTAATCACGAATGACTGCAGGGGCTCACAGTTCAGATTTCGTCTTTTATTAGAGCCTATGATTTATGCCGCATCGTTATTGATGTTATTTAATGATCGGTTTTTACCACTTGATAATAATTCCCCACATCCTCTCTACATGCGCACACATATGAGGACTGGAGAATGATTCGCGTTTTAACTTTCTCATTCTTTTGAAACGTTCGAACATTTTCGAAAAACACCTTGTGATGTACCGTGGGGATTCCTTAATTTAATTTCGCGCATGACAGCTGTGAAATATTAAAGGTTAATAGGCTCAGCATGCTCTTACAACATATTTTCCTAGAAAAATCATACAAAGTATCGTTTTGTAGCAAATAATAAGTTTTGTTTAATTTAATGACTAATAACTCGATTGCTTCAAACGGAAAAATTGTTATTTTTGTACAGACACGTTCAGAATTCAATTCTGTGCCTAATTATTTCTAGTTTTGTATGAAAAGAATAAGTAGTTATTAGTTATAAAGCCATTAATATCAAAATTAATAAATCGCAAATAATTAACTCTATTATTAATTAATCACACTATCAATTAACACACTTTCTGCATCAATAGATAAAAATATAACAAAGAATCTAATTTATTAAAAAAAAAATCTATTTCATAGAAATTATTTCACTTTATCTTTTCAAAATTAATTTAGCAAAGCTGTCAAAAATCAATCATTAGTCTTTAAACAAAATGTAAAGTATAAGACCATAAATGTTTCTTCTTCTTTGATTGATAGCCACAGCGCAGTTTAATATGATTTAAACTTTAGAGAACATAAAAAGTTTCAAAAAGTTAGCGTCGCTCTGGAAAGTTCAAAAGTCGAATGCACTAAACTACTCAAGGTAGTTACATGAGCACAGATTTAAAATCAAGTTTAACCGTAATGTAATGCATTACGATTACGCGTTGCATCAGAGTCTGAATCATCAACATTTGATGCGAATCGCGCATCGAATGTGACATTTACTATTGATGTCAATCTTCTTGCTTCCTAGATGATAAATGTGATCAAATATATCATAACTGGTACTTCTTAGTACTTATTATTTCTTAGGAAATCTCAATTATTTTTTTCATCTCGTTTGTATTAGGTATATTCTTACGTGTTCGTTAACACTTTCGCTTTGTTACATTTTGTTTGTTTGCAAATACCAACAATTACCAACATCTGTAATTAGTTATGATTACTCCCGATCTCAAACCGCACTAGTTGTGATATTCAGCGGCAGTCCCGCCAGCAGAAAACGAAGGCGAAGAGCAAACGACACGACAAAACGCACCGCGAAGATTTTAGAAAGCTGCGCGACTTGCGACTCGCCGACCAATGAATTGGTTTTCATTCCGGTTAGAGGCGCAAAAACATTTTACAAAAACGTATTCAAAATCAGAAGCGAGCCAGTAGTAATACGGTGTCTTAATATTGAAACAATTTCGTATTAATTCGACGTCCGATGAAACATACATGTGGAACGAAAGCGAAACTAACGATAACCGAGCTAATTTACGTCGACGAGGCGCAAGAAATGCTTTAATTAAGCAGTTTACCGAAGCACATTGATTTTTTATTTTATTGGCTGCGTTTTTTTATATTCGGTGGCTAGTAATTGCAATTACAGGCTGCGGTGAGTGTAATAAAATTTAACATCAAAAAGTGAGTACGCCGAAGAGTCGTGACATCGAGATTTAATTGTTTATTGATTTATGATGTATTGGAATTTACATCATGGTGCACAAGAGTCACGGTCTCAATATTAATATTTTATTACTTATAAAGTCTAAATGTTAGAAGAGTAATTAGTTTTAAAATAGCTTCCGCATTTTAGTCTGTAATTAATTTATGAAAATTTAGTTTTTGTCAAAGAGTAAAAAGCTTTGTTTCCATAAAAATTCACATTCTGTATCTTAAAATAAAAAATTTAAATGTCATACACAATTTCCCTAAACAATAATTTATCTACCACCCATTGTTTCAAGAATCATTCATGTATCACAATTAGTTTAAGAATAATTAAATAAAAAGTCATAAAAAAACTTATACCGAACCATTAACAGTCCATATGAAGTTCTAAAAAGTTTCAAACTGAAATTAAGATTTTCACGCTCTATTAGCCAAGTTATAACTTGAAAAATCAACATCAGATTCCAATGAAGCCAATGACTCGTATCGCAATTCCTATACTACCAATACAAATCAATTGGAAAATAAAACTAAACAAAACCAAAAAATATAATAACGAGGATATTAACATGAAATATAAAATAAAGCAAAAAAGATTTATGAGGCTCATATAAAATGGGAAGTAAAAGTGGATGTGAAGTTAATAGATTTGCCTCCCATCGGTCTTGTAAATCTAAGTGGTCTCCCGCCGCGAAATTGAACGAGTTCTAAATGCTTCAGACTCCTTAAGAGCTTCTGTGTGCTCGCAAATGCCTCATAAATAAATTATTTTTTCGCTCGTCTTAGGTACACACGTCACATGCAAATTCGGAAGTACTAGGCACGTGTAAAATAAAAAATTCAACTGTTTGATAGCAAAATCAATAAAATAGTTTTAAAAATAACTCGTATTTCTCTTTACTTGTAGTATATGAAGATTTTATCTTTAACATACATTTTAATAAAACGGGAGCAAGGTTGTTATGTATTTAGGGAATTCATTTTTGGTTATGCAGTGGCTTAATGTAAATAACTTGTCATTGATAAAAGCGATTGCAAACTGGTTCAGATATTTACGTTTTTGCAAGCTGTATGATTAAATATAAAGACATTATGAGACAGAGACAATCACATACCTTTGTGTTTCGCAATATGCAAGTAATAAAAGAAGAAATTCATTGACTCATTGCTCCGAGAAGTTGAAACAATGGAAGCAGTTCAACAAAACGATTTAATTTCATGTCAAGCCTACGTACATGTTATATTAACAGTGGGCGAAACAAAAATGTAAATAAACCGCAAATTTTTATATAATTCTGCAACATAAATGGTAAACTACTCAAACTTTAAGAAATATTACGGTAATTAGTGTTCAAAATGTTATATTTCACTAATTCTCATCCATATTAATAATTTTTAATCACCTGTATGATCTTTAAACGAAGATTTGTTTGCCTTAAACTATGTACACATTTTGACACGTGTGTAGGCTGTGACAGAACAATAGTTATGAATCGTTCCAAAAATCATCTCGTAAAACTCTCACTTCATTAATTGCGTAAATCACTTTCAATCACTTAGCTAAGCCAATAACACACGCATTGTTTAGCAGAGAGTAAACATGACTGTTGAAATCTGTGCGCAAGATATAAGTACTACTAAGTAAATAATTTCTATTTTTGTTTTGCATAAACCCATATCCCATTAGGATATTCTTTAGATTATATTTAAATGTTATTCCATAACTTAAATTGTCAATATTGATTAATGTGCGCATCTAAGTAAATATTCTTGACTTACAAACAGTTAAAAATGATGAAACAGGTTGTTTTGGAATTGCATGCATTAAGCGGGGCTAATTATTCAGTGTTGTTTCTTCTATACGCTGATGTATGAGGTGTGCGCATAATAAGTGTTAGGGACACTCCCTAGCACTTTCCAGCCTAATCGACTACGACTACGTCTTTCTAAATTTTAACTCTAACTCGATTTTCACTTGCTTATTTACGCCACACCAACTTAATCCATTTATGGATAAAAAATTAAAATTTTATTTTAATTTGATTTTTTGTTCAAATATATTGAAGGTTTGGGCCATGAGCATTTCTGGACTTCCGGCACTGATCTCGCCCAGGAAGGCTCTTTCTTCTGGATGTCAACAGGCAGACCCATCACATTCACGAATTGGAATGCCGGAGAACCGAATAATTTCCAGTACGAGAACGGCGAGGAAGAGAATTGCATGGAATTGTGGAATCGCGATGGCAAAGGATTGAAATGGAACGATTCGCCATGCTCGTTTGAAACTTACTTCGTTTGCGAAGCGCACGACTCGTGATTCTCGGAACGTTTTACATCACAAGAGACGCGCAAAATCGAATTTATTTCTCTTGCATTAGAAGAGGAAAACATTATGTTATGAGAAACTTTATTAGGGTGGTTCTACCCCTTCTTCTTTACACGCTGAACACACGTACCGATTGTTAATTAAGTGTAGATGTAGATTATTGTAATTATGTTGTACTTATGAGTAGAATTTTAGGAACACACAGACTTGTACATAACTGTAGTCGACATATGTTTAAAACAACGCATCCAAAATGATTCTTTGTATATTTTTCTAACGTACTTGTATGTTGAATGTACTTTTGTAATATAAATAATAGATTTTTGTATTTATTAAAACAAAAAGAACAAAAACTTTACTGCTTTGAATTATTAAACGATATTTATTATTTAAATCCCGCATGGATTGTGTTAGTCAAGACTTAACCTCGAAAATTCGGTGCCGATCGCGAAGTAAACTTGAGAATTTTAAAGAAATTCGATATAATAAACAGTGATATTAATAAAATAAAGTTCAAAGTATTAAATTTTAACCAGATATTAGTGTTCAACATCTCATATCACTTCAAAAACTGTCAAATTCCTTCACACTTTTCTTAAAACAGTTATTTCCTGTGATATTGTGAATTATTTTGTAATTCATACACATCCAAACCAATAGTCTTTGTTCTTGATAAGTCATGTTACTAAACCACGTTGGAGTGATACCTTTGAGGAAAATTTTGTTAGCGCGTAAAATTTGTGGAATAAACAATGTGAACAAAATTGTGAATGCTCACAAGAGTTCGACCAGCCAGCTGAGCGATGGTAAGTCAGTTTTTCAATTCTAGATGGCGTCAAATGTACTAAATCGATTCGATTTTGTTTAAATATTGTACCAAAGTCACATTTTACTGCACTCACGGGATATTTACTAGTACAATAAATTATTATGGGTACTTGCAACACAATAGATTAAGTGAAGTGTTGCATTTTATGGTTTTATCCAGTTTTATTATTGGAGGGTTCTCGACTTTTATATTTTGTATTGTTTTACTTACATACAATAGGCGAGCTTGCGGATGCGTACGTCCCAAGTCAGGTGGAACAGCGTCCGTTGGAGGATTGGTTTTTCCAACCCACGCTGAAAACTCCCCGCCAGTTTTTCACAATGTTACTGCCGCCGCCAAACATAACTGGCACTTTGCACTTAGGACACGCGTTCACTGCAACAATACAGGACGTCATTTTAAAATGGTACGATTCATAAACATACAATATTTTTACCCTTCGCAACATTAAATTTTTATAAGAATTAAAAGTAGATCCTTCTGGATGGGATCAGATAGGTAATGCCCACCCAAGTCGTAACAAGATGGGTGTGGGCTTCCGGAATAACCAGAGAATCCCCAATCATCAACTCCCATTAGAACTTTAGAAGGATCTAAATTTCAGTAAACCCTTAACATTCTTTATATCCCAAGGTTTATAAATATACTTAAGAAATACCAAAGCGTCATCTATTTTTAAAGCTATGACTTAAGATATAAATCTGCCTTCTTCAATATTTATGTTAGGCAACTCTAGATACAAGTGAATACTATTTGTTATTTGATCCTGCGATGTAAAGATGAGGAATAAATGCGATGATTTGTTTGCTTCGATCAAGGAATCGCATGAATGGCATTGACACTTTGTGGATCCCGGGAATGGATCATGCCGGTATTGCGACGCAGGTGATTGTCGAGAAGAAAATTTGGGCGGAGAGGCGACGCACACGACACGACATCGGCCGTGATGAATTCGAACGCGAGGTGTGGAAATGGAAAACCGAAAAGTCCAATGTTATAGGTAACACCGATGACGCATTTCGACCCACAGTACACACAGTGACGCGCGCTTCCTTCTAAGCGAAGTGCTTAGCCGATTGATAGATGATCCTTTCGCGTAAAAACACTTTTCCCTCATTTGTAATCTTGTACACTTCTAATGCCCGTTCGCGTTAACGTCACTCTTTTTTCTCTGCATTTCTTTTATTTTTGCAACTGCGAAGTGCTCTTCGATTTTTTTCCTTCTTTTCAACTTAGCATACCATCTGTTCACAATACTATTGCGTCAGTTTCTTTTTTATTTATTTTGGAATACGGAACAAGCTGAACGTAACTGTTGTTTGGCTTGAATCAACATTTGATGAATAAATAAACTCACTTCTTTGCTTCCCCGATTTGCATCCATCAATCAGGCGCCCAATTGCGTCGATTGGGTGTTTCGATCAATTGGGAGCGGGAATTCTTCACCATGGATACACAGCGAGCGACGGCTGTCATCGAAGCCTTCCTCAAGCTGCACGAAGACGTTTTGATTTACGAGGCGGACGCGCTCGTCAACTGGTCCTGCGGCCTGCAGTCCGCTATCTCGGACATCGAAGTCGAGCATGTGGAAATTTCCGGACCCACGCAAATCAACATTCCCGGCCGCGAGAAACCAGCCGAGTTTGGCCACCTCACCGAATTTGCTTATCAATTATCGGATGATCGAAGCCGGGAGGCTGTGGTGGCAACCACGCGACCCGAGACTATGTTGGGCGATGTGGCACTTGCAGTCCACCCGAATGACCAGCGCCATACGACGCTAATTGGCAAACATGTGGTGCATCCGTTCCGCCAAACCCTACTGCCGATTATTGCCGATGAATTCGTCGATATGAATTTTGGCACCGGTATTGTTAAAATCACCCCCGGTCATGACCACGATGATTTCGAGGTGGGCAAACGACACAATCTGCAGGTGCTTAGTGTGTTGGATGAGAAAGGTCGAATGATTAATTGCGGCGAGTTTGATCATCTGGATCGCTTCGATGCGAAGGAAAAAGTTTTAAGTGCACTTGAATCTTTGGGCCTATTGAGGGGTAGAAGGGATCATGCTATGTCTCTTCCTATCTGTACGCGGTCCAAGGACGTGGTGGAACTTTTAATGAAACCACAATGGTTCATCGACTGTAGGAAGATGGCTCAGATTGCTCTTGAAAACGTCCAAAAGGGCAACATTCACATCGAACCGAAACGCTTTGAGAAGACTTGGGAGACTTGGCTCGAAAACATCCGGTAACTATTATATCCCCACACACAAAAAAAAAACAAAAGAATGTATAGAAGAGAAAAATTATTTTCAGTCCGTGGTGTATTTCTCGTCAATTGTGGTGGGGTCATCGCATTCCAGCATACCGTGCGATCGAACCCAACGGAACAACTCACACCCTCATTGCGCGCAACCACGAGGAAGCTCTCAGCCTCACTGCGAAAGTTACTTCCGAACAGTGCCAAATCAAACAAGTCGACGACGTGCTAGATACATGGTTCTCGTCTGCCTTGCTACCTTTGAGTGTTTTCGATTGGCCTGCCGAGACGTCAAACAGCCGCTATCCTCTGAACGTGATGGAAACTGGACACGATATCCTCTTCTTCTGGGTGGCGCGTATGGCGATGTTGTGTACGCATCTCAGCGGGCGTATACCTTTCGAAAAGGTACTGTTGCACGGAGTTGTCTGCGATGCGCATGGTAAGAAGATGTCGAAGAGTTTGGGCAATGTTGTTGCCCCCGAGGACATCGTCGAAGGTCGCACTTTGAAAGATTTAGAAGCGGCGACAAGTCAGGCGAAAAATCAAGGATTGTTGTCCACAGAGGACGCACAAAAGGCCATCAAGGGACAGCGAAAGATGTTCCCCGATGGGATTCACCAATGTGGCGTCGATGCATTGAGATTCACCCTCTGCTCGTACAATTTTAAAAGTAAAAAAACTTGTTTTCACTTCGTTTTTTTCTTCGGAGTTAGAGTTGATGGAAAGTTGCTAATATGATAATAATTGGACACTAATTGCAGATCACTTTGTCAACTTTGATGTGCAAGAATGCAAAACTAACAAGTTCTTCGGAAACAAGTTGTGGCAGGCTACAAAGTTCACGGTAAAGTGGCGCGCCGTCCTGGCGACGCAATTTCCGAAAACAGATCGGCGACATCGTTCACCCGTCGCCTGGGAACACGAACAAGATGTTCGCGTTATGGATAAATGGATCCTGAGCCGATTGAATTTCATGTTGGCGGAAGTTAATGAAGCATTAAGCGGCGATAATTTTCACATCGCCACCGCCGCACTAAAGAACTTTCTTTACTACGAGTTTTGCGATGTTTATCTGGTAACACATTTTTTTTTCTGCTTGGCTTTTACAAAGTTTTGCTTTTTTTCATGTGTATTCAGCACTAGAAATTTCATATCGCGTCTCGGCTACAAGGAGAATATGTGTTGAATTTTTAGGAGAGTACCAAACGAGGTTTGTGCGAGGGCAACGTGATGCACGCGTTGATACTGGAGCACTGTCTGCTTTTGGGCATGAGGACGCTGGCGCCGTTCATGCCGTATTTATCGCAACACTTGTACGCGCACTTGGCGGCGGATGCATCGCGCTCGCATGCACACGCCGCCGTCGAGTATTATCCGCTGCCGGAAAATCGATACAGAGATGCAGCGCTGGAGCGTCGCGTCGGAAAATTGATGGATGTCGTTATCGCCATAAGGCGGCTCAAGAAGATTTTTAACGTCACTGCTAAACATCATCCTAAAGGTATGAAAACATCCCTTTACAAAAGCAGCCGCAGCTTTTTTCTATTTAGATTTCATTTTTCAGTGATTATTAACACCGAGGATGAATTCCTCCGTGAGAATAGCAACACCATCATGGATTTATCCGCATGTGCATGCTTGGAATTCAATTCCCCGACGGGATCTTCATCCGGATCCTACATTTCGGACAAAGTCGATTCCGCCGAGATTCTGCTACACGTGCCCGAGGAGTTGCAGCGCGCGCTTACGGTCGACGCCGAAAAATTCGAGGTGAAACGCGCCAAACTCGCCAAGGAATTGAACAAACTGCGTGCGAGCATGTCGTCGCCGTCGTACGCCGAAAAAGTTTCGCCCAGCTCGCACGAGAACAATCTTCGCAAGATTGCACAACTTGAGCAGAAAATTATGCGGCTCAATTACGTGCAAAGTTTAGCCGAACAACGAAATTGTTTCGCTCAATAATAATGCATAATTGAAGTAACATCGAATGAGTGGGAGGCGTTTTGTAACACATTTCTGTGGTGTGCATAAAGTTTTCAGTTGACACATAATTTGCTATGAGGTGGCAAAGTAAACTCTGTGTACAGATATTGTGAAAATAGAACAAAGAGAAGTCTCATTAGTGCGATGTTTGTGTCCCACTGCAGGTACTCTCCAGAACGCCTGCAGCTGCTACTGCAGCGACTCAAGGACCTGTTTATTTAATGTACATTCTAGCGCTGCCGGGATAAATACACACGCGTGGATTATTGATTGTATTGATTAAAATGTTTAAACTTTTATGAGCATTTTTTATGTTTGCCAATTCTCAGCACGAAGTGGTTTTACTTTGTAGATTATTCAAATGTATAACAAAATAGAAAAATAGTTTTTTATGAAATAAATGAACAAAATTTACTCTGTCTTTGCATTAAGTGTAGTATATTCACATTTGACTGTATTTATAGCTCTATATGCAAAGGTAGTTTATGTAAAATGTGTAATGTTCAAAGTTTATGTTTGTTTATGAAAATTTAGAACAGTTCTTAGTGTTATTTCTGTGAACTGACTATATGAGCAACATTGTCTCAAAGAGCATTGCCAAAACACTATGAGCGTGGAATTTATGATATGCTGTTGATAATAAACAACGATACAGTAATTAATTGTGACCCAATTAAAATAATTGAGAGTTTGAATTAGAAATTAGAGCTTCTTTAAGCAAACATTTTGTTTGTAAGAATGATTAATCTCCCTCTCGTTGCGTTTTGATGTAATTAGTTAACAACGTAGTAGAGAAACAAAATTCCACATTGTAAAAAAGATTTTTTAATAATTTGCAATGTGCGCAGCGCAGTTCCGTTCAGGAAAACGCCAAAGGACGAGCTGTGACGACGAGTGTTGGGATTGCGGCATGCGGCTAGTCTTCGGGCATGCGTTTGTCGAGGAAAACCAAAAGAGTGGGAGTTGGATCGGAGGCGGCGGCGGCGTATCGCGTCATGCTTTCGTATTGCCGCTGCTGCCACCGCCACCGACGCCGGTGTTTCTCGCGTTCGATGCGGTGCTCGCGTGTTTTATCGTGTCGCAGCGTGCCGCCTCCGGCTGCCAGTTACTCGCCGGCGTTATAACCAGGTTCGATATCTAGATTATTTAGCGTCGCGCATAAATTCAGTGTATGTTTAGAAATAATTGTCCCGCATAAAAAAACTTTTAAGCCCAGATCCAGAAAGTTATTGCGCTAATTTTTAAATTAGAAAAGTTTTGCGAAAACGAAACATTGCAAGCGTCTGTTGGTGTGGCAAGAAAACTTCCAGAACGATTGAAGATTTACTCCGACACAGGTAAGCTTATAATGCTTGTGAAACATAAAGAAAACGCGCTGCGAAAGTTTGTTTCGTAATTTTTCTCTTTACCAGTGTGTATGATAAACAAATAATTAACATACACACCTGCGCATCAGCGTGGAAGATTGAGTGACGTGTGCTCGCTGAAAGTTTTCCACTTAAACTTTCGGTTAAGTTGGTTTAAAGTGTTATTTTTAATGCGATAACTTCGACGTGATAAAACGACGCCGCCTAATGGCCACCGAAGACAAACAGCAAACTTTCTGACGGTCTATTACCCCAAATTGAATTAGAATAAAGCAGGAACCAAAACCAAAGAGCACACGATCGAATGCACAACGAGTACACAATATGTTCTATAATTCAATAGAAGGAAATCGATTCGTTGACTTACCTCGATATCAGCGTATCAACTATACATATTGATATTTATTTACGACGAATCTATTTATAACACTACAGGTTTTTTTTTGCGACTGCACAACGACGCTTTCGATCATCAAATGCATAACCTAACTTTATTTGTGCGGTTTGTACGCAACGCATCGTAATTTGGGTTGCATACATTAGAATGTTTTTAAATAAAATGCCAATTACAACAAAATTCAATGCAATTTTTGATAATTATAGGTTATAAATGTAAACTACATTAATAATACGAGTTTATATGAAAAAGTTAAAGCCATACAAGCGGTCGTACATGTACAATCATAAAAATAGAATAACAAAACTTATTTACGAGTTCATGAATTATATCAACGTTCAAATCCACTTCATGTCCAATTAAATTTTAACAACATACTTTCAGACTCATACTGGTCCCTCTTATCAGTGTCCCTTTTATCGTCCAGATAAATAAGATCAAATTTTAATATTTCTCCGCGCTGCGTCAGCAAATTTTTTACGGGTTCATTTTTGGATTTTGTTTTTATCGCTGATTCGTATTTTAACAACCTTCTAAGTTTAACGATTATTTGCGTGAATGCAACACTTTTGCAGCGTGCTGGCGCGAAAAAACGCCGCAAGTTCTTGTGCGGAAATTAATTTTTTCCACCTTTTCTTTTTGTTTCCTTTCTTTTGCATCCGGCTCTTCTTTATATTAGCGTTATGCATTCTTTGTGTTTTTTTTGTCGGCTAGGAATTTCCTTTCTGAGCCATAGAAGGTTTTAAATCAACAATAAAATATTTAAATATAAGCCGCGGCGCTATTTTGTGCAGTAGCATAATAGTGCGAGTTTATATAAAGGTGTATTAATTAATTAAATGTCTGAATAAGTAATAATAAGTTTATTATCATGGCCAGCATCATTAGTTAGAGGTTTTTGAAATGTAAAACCATTATTTGAATAATTAACTTACGTATAGGTATAAATTGATTTAATATGCCTTTTGTTACTTCAAATAGAAAAAGAAATCTTGTCATAATGGGGGCACTACGGCAATAAATTCAATTTTTACGTAAAAAGCTAGTTAATTACCTTTATTAATCCCAATATTCCGGTTCACAGGAGCTAAATTCACTTTAATTACAAAATTCTTTCAACGCTACCTTTTTGCCTTTTTCTAAGTACGAAAAAAGTTTTGTTTGAAACAGACTCCACTCCCCAATGGGATCAGCAAGAATTTTTCATCATTTCTTTTTTATTTCATTCACTTTGCGCCAATTCACGCCATTTCTCAAAAAAGGGTTCCAGAACTCGCATACCATACGCAAATGGAGATTACTGCCACGCGCAAAAGTTGGCAACTGCGTCAATAATTCATCTCGTAGCTGTCAATCACGCGTCCGAAAGTCGACTTGACGAAATTCCTTAATTGCAGCGCAAACACCGAACTAGTGGAAATCCAGTTCCGGCTGTCTTCGCGCGTTCCGCTTTCTCTGTTGCGTCTAACAGACTTTCCCTTGCCATTTCCGTCGGATTAATTTCGATTGTTAATTGAGTTATCTGCTACTCAACTCGCGCGCCCCTGAATCGATGTGCTTGTGTTCACTGCCAACCGAAGTTTACCCCCGCAAGCAGCGTACAAAGATTCGCTTCGAGTGATAAGACTCGTTGCGGCTGTGAAACGTCGAAATGAACACGCGAACAGAACCGACGCATGCGAATTCTATTGTTACACAGTCAACCAGACGGAAACAAGCGACATGAAACAAGCGTGCGACACAATTAATGCCAAAACGCCGAATTGAATGACGCGCGCCGACGACACGACGGAAAATTAGAAGGAAAACGTGCGCACCTGCAATATCAGCCTACATTAAATAGATATTCCTGAAACATGCGTTGGCAAACTTCACAACTGTGTGTTGTAGTAAACTATGTAATCCAAATCGTTGAACCACTAAAGCCGTTATTGTTAGTCGAGCGCACCAACCTGGTTAGGCTTGTAAACTTGTTATTTACTACCGGCAGCTGTTTCTACATTTATATCGAAACAACCAACAAGCAAAGGGTTGATAAACGCCTGGTATCGATTTCCATTCATAATGTACCTACGAAACAAGATGTGTTAATTTTCACTGATGTATATATTCACATACAAAAAGTAATTAAGATAATACTCATGTGTATAAACAACAACTATTTAACTCTTTCGGGTATAATAACTCCAATGGGCTGTGTGTATGTGTTTGTAAATCCGCCATATTTGTATTCGTGTTGCGGCCGGCAGTAGCACTGAAGTTATCGGCTTCGCCTGGCTGTCGCAAAACTTTTAATGACGTTCATTTCTAGCGACAAACTTAATAACTGAACTAATGAATTTTACTCCCTGTGCGCATTCCTTGTGCCGCCGCCAGTTTTATATTTCGCTGTCAAAACGCTACCTACTTGAATGTATAATTTTGTGTTAAGCCTTCGTTTTCTTATTAGGATTTATTAAGCTCCTCGTAACTTTTCACTTTGCACGGTAATGTAATCTCAAGTGCTTCGAACGCTCCGATATCTCCACCGTATTTTATTTTATTCGAATAACTCTCGCGCTTGATAACTCGATTATTTTAATCTTATTAAGACAAAACAAAAGTTTTGTAAGATTTTAAGTTAGGCAACTTATTATACGTGTTTGAGTATTACACTCGAGGTGGATTCGAAACCCAACCGAAAGTACACATAAATGAATATAATGCTTGAGCGGTTCGGGTGCGTGACAAGAGGATTCGTATGTAGTATCCTCGTTGAAAGATTATACGGTGTCCGACAATAACACCGTGTAATCCTAGAGATTAAGTCAGTACGCATGAGTGCACTAGCCTTTCTAATAGTTTATTCAACAGTTTTCAGGTTTGTAGGTTATGTCATCCGCCTGCAACGAGATCCAATTGTGTGAATTATTGATTAATGTGTGTTTTGTTTTTAACGCAAAAAGTTTAACAATAAAGTTGCTTGTTTGTGAAGTATTTGGTCTGTACGCTTGCAGTTAAGTTCAGTCCAGTGTTACAAAAGTAGAAAATAATGAAGTCTTTCAGCCACACTCCGCTGAAGTTTTACCCACTCTAGTTGTCCGCATTCAGGTTAGTACCTACCACTGACACTACGTTTCTATTTTCTCTTGAAAACTCTCACAATGAACTTATTTTTATTTTTAGGATTTTTTTTATCTCCAGCAGGTAAACAAAGCCTTCAATTTAGTGCGTTATTAATTATTTTCTTATTAAGATCAAAGCCTCAAAAATTCTTAATCTGAACTTCAATTAAAACATTCCCAACTTGGTCTTGGAGTTTTCCCAATCTGGGTCGGGCCGGCGCGCCGCAATATATTTACCAATAAAGTACCTTTCCTCTCCTGCTGGTGAGCACAATGCAAAGCACAACACACAAAGCGCCGAAGAACTTGAAATCTGCGCACAAGGCGAAAGATGATAAAGAAGGCGCGCGTTGCTTTGAGTTCTGAGATGCTTGTTGCCGTGTTAATTGTGCGCCTCACATCGATTTTCCTTTGTTCTCCTTATAGCCTTTATCTGAATACATATGCATTTTTCTCGGCGCACACACAATTTGAATTAAAGTTTTCACGTTTCGAGAAACTTGCGCTGTGAAAACTCTAAAAGCGTGCGAGCGCTGCTACATGCGTCGATTATTTATTCACGAACACGTAGACCGCAGATTAAAACCTTGAAAACGCTCGGGCTAAACTAGTGAAAGAAACGACGGAAGTAAGCAATGACGACGGGCGAGGAAACGAGCGTCGTGGCAAACCGACGAAAAGAAAAGAAAAGCCTGCTGCGGGTTACCGGAAGGTTAGAATGGTGGGGCAAATGCTCGAATGGCGGAACGTAAAACGCATTTAGCACTAAATTCCTCTTAAATCTTACATACTACCGGCCTAACTCACCTACCCCAGCATGGCGCGTGCACGTTTTTTCCCTTGCTTCATTTTTGCCAACCGCAAAAACCGGCGAATGAGGTGGAAAAAAACACGCGGCGAAAATGGCGCACATGAAAACCCTTAAAGTTGAGCGGAATGTATCTCGCAGCTCGTTTGTTACAATTTCTATAGGCCTTTGCTTATGCCCGCAGTACATTATACTACTTATTCAAGCTTTTTATTATGCCAAAAATATTGTATTTGATTTTTGCAACTTTTTTCCACAGCATTAAAAAGTTAAATGTTTAGAATAACCGTTTTACACACATAACTTCGCCGCTCAATTTCTCATTATTTAAAAAATTAACATAAACCCTTATTCGCGATGGGAAATTAAATAATTGAATATTTACATAGAGTAATAACTACTTCAATTATTCATCACAATATAAATTTATCAGGATATGGGCGCCACTCACGGCGCTCGTTTTCGTTTTCGATTACAAATTCAATTTCATTTCCAATTTTAATGTTGCTGTTTGCAGATTCGCATTCGTTGATGAATCGCTAGTGGGCGATTTGGCACTGCAGACATAATCATGAATTTGTAATGCAAAATGAGTTATTGTTTCGCGCGAAATAATGAACACGCTAATTTGGCACTTCAATTAATATTCCAGACAATCTTT